TTGGAATATCCAATACCATACATGCCATATAATTGATGAAATCATTATGTGGGAAATACAGAAAACCGTCCCAGAAATTCGAAGTTGCAGGTTAGAATCGGATAGTTTTAATTACATTGGTTGTGCTTCATATATCCTTAACAAATTTCTACCTTAACCAACCAAGTCATTACCTATCAAGATCCTTAATTTTAACCAAGAGGTTGATCAAATCTTAAATTAGATGATTTAACTGGAATTCGAATTTCCTCATAAACTTTTGTTGATTTGTTTCAAATCCTTCAGGTAGAGTCATCTGCAAACAAAAAAAATTGATTCTGTAAATGTTTATTTCAGGGCATCATTGTTTCACACTATCAGCTTGATCCAAGAATAAATCACACTATTTCTGCTGTCAGGACATGTCAAAAATGTTCACCAGGAAAAAGCCCCTTTCGAAGAAGTCTCACAGAGACCGTTACACCCAGTAAAGTACACAGCATGGGTAATCATTTCCAAACATGGCATAATTGGTATAGAAATTGTAGAGAAATGGATCAAATAACCCAGGGTACCAGCATGACGAGGCAACCCCCCCTCCCCCCCACTCATCAAACCACATCCTTAACTGGCTGAGAGAGCGATTTCAGAAAAAGCTGAGTTAACAGTGTTTTAGTTAGCAGTGACGTTGCGTTGCAGTAAAATGTGTATCAGAATAATCTTCAAACAGAAGACTGCGAATGCCTCAACAATCGGAAAAAGAGAAGCAAATGAATGCGAGTGATTGACAATTTTACACAGCAGATGCAAGTATGTTTCAAATTCCGAGAAGAGCATTTGAAGAATATTCTACGGACAACATACCTTTTGTGCCTTTGGGTACAATCATAAACAAACAGAGGTTCAAGTTTAGAAAAAATTGAATAATTTACTACATTTCCATGGAGGTAAAAAGGAAATTTATAGGTTCCATTTTTTCAGAGGGTCATCCTGTTTATAAGGAACTCAAAATCACATAATTTAAGACTTTATATATTAAAGTGAGAAAATCATGGGTATGAAATAAGATGCTTGAAGATTTGCATAAGAAAATGCAACTTTTCACGAAAGGACTGTAAATATATACAAACAATCAAGTTAAGTAACAAAAGATCAAACTGAAATCTGAACTGAAATGCTTTTGATTAGATTGATAAGTTGACTAGATGAGAATGAAATACAACTTGCTTTATTTATTGAAAGTCTTGCATGGAACCCGTAGATTTTACAAAAATTATATCAGGTTTGTGACAAAGGCACTGAGATAAAATCAAAACACAACCTCATGAAAAACAGTAATTTGATCTTATCAACTTTTTCAAGGCCAACATTCTCTGACCTGTACAGGGCCTTGTTCTGAGTCAAAGTGTGAACACATGATTGGAGAAAGAGTTGAAATAAATATTTAGTGGTAGAGAAGAATAGTGTTAAATTGTCACTGGGCATTCGTAGTGCATCAAATTTTTAAAAAATACAGGGTGACTAAAACAAAACAGAACCCAAACAAGTAACCAACACCTGGATTTTGTTGTGTATAATTGGTTACACCCGTAGTGTTAGTGCCATGTTAGGGTTAGGCTACAATTTTATTCCAATTTTCCTTATTTTAGTTCTACTACGAGTTTGGGGACTGTCTGTTTTAGCCAAGTGATTATACCCCCTGCCCATAGGTTCCAGTCCCTTTACACAACTTGATGTGAAGTTGGCGAACAAAATTAGTTACCTATATATTGGTACACACACTTCTGGAGCACCTATAATTGTACCCAAAGTTTCAGCAATCTAGGATGCTTTGCACGAAAGTTGTGATGTCTCTAGAATAAGTTCCAAAAGACCTGTTTGTATGGGGTAAACATGTATGAACATTATAAAACAGATCTGTATGAGAGCACAACCGTAAACTTGGATATATCCACACCCAGGGATGGCCAATACCGAATAGTTCACTATTTCGAATACATTCGAAATTATTTTTTTCGAATATGAAATTTCGAATACTTCGAAAATAAAATTCACTAATTGAAGCTTATCTAAATGTATATATGTAGGAATTTCCATACAATAAGCAATGAAATAACTGCTATCTACAAGTTAGTTATATTACCAGGCATTTCATATTTGCAGATTATTGCAGTATATATTTTATATACCTTGAGTCATGTTGACAGAATTAAATTAATACGGCAATAGTGGCACGGTGATGGATTTGAATATTTGCGCAACACAAAATCATCCTAGTAAAACGCCCATACTTTTAAATATCAACCATTATCCAAATTATTTGCCAAAAAGCGGGATAAAGTATGAGTTATTTTTCCGACTTTTCTAAGTCCACAGATCGCCGTTGTATTTTGTAAATACAAAAATAGGAATCAAAAATTAATATTAATCGCGAGTTTGCCACACAATTTATGTCCACAGATTGCCGTGATATTGTGCCGAATAGAATTAGTTTTTGATTCTTATTTTCGCACTCACGAAAAAATTGTCACAGGTCGGAGAAAGAATTTATACTTTATCCCGCTTTTTGGGAACTAATTTGGATAATGGTTGCCATTGATTTGTATTTAAAAGTATGGACTTTTTACTAGGATGATTTTGTGCTGCGTAAAATATTCGAATCCATGACTGATACCACTATTTAAAATGCCTTACCGTGTTAATTTAGTTCTATAATCATAACTAACTCAAATGTTGGTAAATCGGGCAGTTTCCCACACATTTTAAGGCCACAGATCGCCGTTGCATTTTAGAATTATAATAGTTTTATTATTTTGTAAATACGAATCCAAAATTAAATATAATTGGGCAGTTTACCAGGTATTTCATGTCCACAAATACCCGTGGTATTTGGTATTAATACTTTCATTATTTTCTCAATATGAAAATAGGAATCAATATTTAATAATATCGGTCAGTTTACCACACATTTTATGTCCACAGATTGTCCATACAACAATGAGTTACGTTGAACGGAATTAAATTAATACGACATGACATTTTAAATGCTGGTACCAGTCAAGGATTGGATTATTTTGCGCAACAAAAAATCATCCTGGTGAAGGATCGATACTTTTAATTATCGTTATCAAAATTATTTGCCAGAAATTATTTTCTAATAAATCAACTTGTTTTTCCAACTTGTGCCAATTTATTGGATATCGTAACAATGACGGCTATAAATACCGTATTTCCCGGCTAATAAGTCCACATGGCAAATAGGACGATGTCTATTTTTAGCAGTCAAAAAAGTTTTTTTTCCATATAGGCCTCCAATAAGACTGGTAGAAAAATGTGTCCTTTGGTAGAATCATACTCACAGAATTAACTATTTTTAACAATTGAGCGGTAAATTTAAGTTGTAAAGCGGCAATCATTTTGGACAACCTATTAACCCGAATGTTAAAATAATTTTGGAATGTGATAAGTACTACACTGTACGTCCACGGGTTATTTCACAGCTGTGTTTTCCTGTCCCTGTCGTGTTCTGCTGAATCGGCAAAACGAAAGGGTCATAAATCACTTTCACTCGGTAGCCATGTTTCTCTTTAAAGTAACGATAACCGGCCTGCGATTAAATATCATGATTGGCAGACCCTAAGACCCAAATATAAGGTTACACAAATCATGCTTGAGAAGACTAATAAGCAGGCCACATAGAAATAAAATAAACATACTTTCTCAATTAGACGCCCCCAAAAAAATAATCAGGCCAAAAAATTGGGCCCAAAAAAGCCGTAATTGTCAATTTTTCGACGTGATGGAAATAAATTTGTAAATTAAAAGCCTCGTAGACGAATGTCGGCAATGTCCACCCACGCAAACGTGCAAATGTGTCGCAACACTATGCGACGTACGATCGCACAGAATATAAACATTCAAAGTGCCGATTCTATTTCATCGTCATTACAATGCGTGAGACAGCGTAAAAAGTCGTTTGAAGATTCCCGTAAAACGAAACACCACGTTTACGGCGAAAAGTGGCTACCAGTGTTCACTATTAGCGCACTTTTTTGCGAAAATTGCGAAGCACTTTCGCAACTTTTTTTAGGGACTGCGAAATAGCACTTTTTTCCGATTTTGAAGAGAAATAGCACTTTTTTCCGATTTTGAATGGAATAAAATTCAAAGTTAACAAATATTTTCGAGTATTAAGTTGACAAATAAGTAACATACTAGTACTTTTGTAACTCAATTCTGCATATCATAACGATATTTACCAGAATTCTAACCTAAGAGATGCAGACATAGGAGATAAAGCCTATGCATTAACGGCAAAATTCTTGTTTATATTATAATGTGATTATTATACAAGCACACGGATTCCGCTTCTCCCGCATAAACGCTCCCGGCGTCTTTGAAACCAGATGTTGGAATACTACACAGTGCGATTCTTTGAACGAGAGTGGTCATGTGACTATCAATGATATCGATGAATTCAAAATGACTATAAAAGTGTTATAGTCACTTTGGATGAATTGTGACCAAAGTGCACGATTTTCAAATCAGCCGAAACTTTTAGCCGCATGTGACAGATTTGCAAAATCACCAAATTCACAAAATACCATTAAGTGCCATTTTATTGTAATCACAATGTTGAAAGCATGTGGCATTTTCCGGAATTTTGCGATATTTACACAACTATTTCTCATTGATATGCGAGGACGGGTGGGCAAAATTCAATATTTTTTGAATCGAATATTTTTAAGGAGTACCGAATAACGTATGGAACATTAAAAAATCGGCAACAAAGCCTTTTTACTGGTTAATTCCGTTGTAATCGCTAATTGTTCTTGTCACCGATCGTTTTGGCGGCGATATCCAGGTTTTGGTAATCTATATTCCCGCCCTCTCTTTTTTACAAATATGAATTCTTGTGGGTCGGCGGACATCGAAGTTTTATATTTCGGGTTTACCCGTTCGTTCACATCGGCAACAGCTGTTGAAGACATTGAGGACTCAAATTAACATTTGCGTTGGCTTTAATATTACCTATCAAGATTTGTAAATTTACCGTCCCAATTTTATGCGAATGATAATATTATTGTCCATACCGTGATGCAGATATTTATTAAGACGATAATTAACTTTCTCATGTTTTCTATGGTGATAAACTTCGCAAATCTGAAATTGTGCCAATCCTGAATGTTGATTTAAAATAGTGATTTAATAATTCGGCAATAAAGGCATTTCTGCGTGGTCATAAGACGAGATGACGTTAATGAACAGCACTTCTTTTACAGGATATTTTACGTATGCGACTTAATGCTAAAAAGATTGGGCTCGAGTGCTTTTTTTTCGAGTGCTCGAGTGCCTAATAGAGGTCAGGCGCTAATTGTAACTAATTCCCTCAAGTTTCAACGTGTTTTCAACAAAACAATACCCCGGCGATAATTATAGCTAAAATGTTACCGAGCAATTCACAATTTTATTTATGGAATTTGCAAATTCACCAGTTTCTTGACGATTTTGATATTGTCACGCCCTAATTATTAGTGCAAAAAAACTCCCGCGGTTTGACGGGTTTGTTCCATTCTTCAGAAAGTTCTGACACGGGGATATAGAATACTGAATCCGGAGGGTTGAATCCCTGTCCACTTACTGGTGATTTTCCGTTTTGAAATGCGTGAAACATTCTCTATTTTAAATTAAATGACGTTTCGCGGGCTAGAGTTCTCCCCGAAAATGATGTGTTCCAGACGTTAGTTAGACGATAGATAAAACATTATTAATACGTGACGCCCCGTTTTCGAAAATACAAAGTTATATCGCAAAAAATGCGTTATGATACATTTGGAATGAAACATTATTTACGGTTAATTCAGATCATATTTTACTCTCATGACACCCGGTATCCGAAAATACAGTTGTATCTCGAAAAATGTGTTTTGTTACATTTAAAATAAAACATTTTTGCGATTAATTTAGATCATATTTTACTTTTCACGACACCGTTTCCGAAAATACAAGTTTATATCGCGAAAATGTGTTTTGTTATATTTAAAATAAAACATTTTTGCGATTAATTTAGATCATATTTTACTTTTCAGGACACCCTTTTCGAAAATACAAGGTTATATCGCAAAATGTGTTTTGTTACATTTAAAATAAAACATTTTTGCGATTAATTTAGATCAAATTTTACCTTTCACGGCAACCCGTTTCCGAAAATACAAAGTTATATCACAAAAAATGCGTTTTGTTACATTTATTTTGCATTCCCAATAAAATACATATTTTCCCTAATTAAGGTCGTCGATGAATCTGTTCCTGTCGTTCAAGCTCGACACACGTTTGGACGAGTGTGGGGCGGTTTTTTGGTCGACGATAAATTAAAAAGTTGCCACACGTTATTTGTATAACGATAATAACTGAAAATTAAGATTTTATATAGAAGTGAATTTGTCTCAAGATGGTATTTTACGATTCCTGCCCACAGAAAATAAACACGCTGACAGGCTTGGTTATAATTGATATTCGTTTAATTTATTTTACACTATTAATAAACGCGCCACACCAATTGCGACCATATAAATTGCAGTCGCATCGGTATGGACTGTATGTTTTTGGCGCTCTCACATTAATAATAATTTTCAACAAAACAATACCCCGACGGTCATTAAAGCTGAATTCGTTACCGAATAATTCACAATTTTATTTACGGAATTTGCAATTTCAAGATCTCACTTGACGATTTTGATGATGTCATGCCCTAATTATTACTGCTTAAATGCCTCAAAATACAACAAATGTAATCATTTTCGACGATAACAGGCGCAACAATTCGTAAACGAGCCGTTATAACGAAATTCGCGATTGATTTTACCTCTCTCTTGTTTACAATTTTAACATCCCGCCGGCCATGTATGGTCGAATAAAATGTTCACATATTCGAAACATGACTTGGCCAAGGATGGAAGGGATCACTAAAGAGCTAATAGAAAGTACATACGCGAGGGTATGATATTAATATCGAGAATATTTGTGAGCATATCACAGGACGGAATATTCTGCACCCGCTGTTTGTTGGCAGAACAACGATACGCTAAAGTTAATTGATTCGAATACAGGAGAGTATTTATTTATCATCTCACTTGCGAACATCGAGGTTTTGGCGGAATTGTACGATCATGTTGTCTTTCTTAAATAATAACTTTTCAATAAATGTTCATTTTACTTTTGCGTCTTTATTGTATGTCGGGTTTTCATTTATTTTAAATTCGAAACTGTCCGAAATACTCCAACAGGTGTATAAGTACAATAATAATAGTACTTACCAAAGTACTTACCAGGGAAGTTTAATACACACGATGTGTTAAGGGCGTCGTAACTCCCGTTTTTTTATTTGATTGTTTTACATTCTGCTTAAAAAACAATGTCGTTTTGCAGCCATCTACCGTAACTCTCGCGACCAAATCTTTTTCGTTTTGTATGGCATCGTCTTGGCGCAATTTATTGCCGACTGAGTTTTAATTGTGTTTTAGAATACCGTAAGTTATTTTCTGTTTGTTGGTTTCTAAACTTTACAAACTTGGTAGCAATTACTATTAATGTGAGATTTGTGCATATAAACGATAGAATATCGCGACTGGATGTCCGATATCTGAGAATGCGTACTTCTCTTTCAACATTAATTTTCAGGATATCAGCGTTCATGTGGTCGAATAAAAATTATTTATCAAATGGATTGGTATTTCGAGACACTCTCAAAATTATTTGGGATCCACTATCATATCATTCGTTTATTTTCTATATTCATGTATTTTTTAAGAATCACCCTGTTATATTTCGTGTATCTCGCAAAAGAAAACTCTTTGGTGTCATCGTTCCTATTAGTGTAATTGAAATATATGGAAACCTCGAAAGTGGCGTTGTGATGCGAATATTTGATACTAGGTCAGCAGCATTACAAAGAGTGCTATTTATGAATGCTGAAAGTACAGGGCAATACTAAACATTTTGCCAATATATGATGTTTCCTGCCCGAAATCGCACGCAAACCAAGGCATGTCGACATTTAAGAATTACTGGTCTTTGGGTAAGCTCTGAAATAGTATAATATAAATGTAAATGAAAAACTAGGTCACGCTAGCTCACGAAACGAGAGGATTTTCAAAGTGATCTTGTGTAATATTTCGAAGAAAAAAGTTTGAAAGGAAAGTAGGTCAACATATCTCCTAAAACGGGAGTATCCTGCGTAATATTTCGGAGGGAACGTAGGTTAACCTATCTTTTACAACAGCGGGTGGCGACTTTCAAAGTGGTTCAAATCACAAATTTATAATTATCAGATTAGGTTTAGTGATAAATCGAAAAGTTGAATTTCCAGGGCACCTAACCGTAATTAGTTGATTGCTATTTATATTTGGGGGAGGGGGGGGGGGGGATTATTTTGCACTGGTTTTGTACAAATGATCCACCCTGTAACTAATATGGTTTCCAGCCTGCATGTATCAATCGTTGTCTGTTAGATGGAAGGAGTAACAAATGTGAAAGCCTTTGCTGTTCACGCAAGTAAGCAACTGACACCATGATACATTGCATGAAAGTTTTGTCCGCGGCAGGTGTTAGCAGATGTCCTTTCGTTGCCGATGAATTCGCTTGTTTTAATTAAACATGAATTCGCTTAAAGGGAACTCGGTTAACGGAAAGGCTTCTCTTTAATTCATAATATTAACCGGAGGAGCGCTTTTTCGAGTATCTATGCTGTTTTAAATGGGTTATATGAAAGGCTAGGGCACCTAACTTGTTAAAATCGGCAAAAGCACTTTCGCACTTTTTTTTTCGACTGCGAAGCACTTTCGCACTCATAATTCGCTTAGAGTTAACACTGGTGGCTACTATTCGGAATTATTCGAAAATCAGCCGAAAAGGTATTCGAATACTATGATATTCGAATATATTCGAATATTCGATTCGTTTTGGACAACCCTGTCCACACCTTCTTTCCACCAGCTAATGCTGCACTATGTTTTGCACTGAGTTGTGAATCATAAACATGAGGATATCTTTCTATATTTCCAATGCTTTTGCCTCTCTGAGAAAACAATGGAGCAGATGCAGCTTGTAGTAAAGCCATAGCCCTGGTAAAAAGAAGAAAATTGTTTCATGACTGCCAGTAATAGAAATTTATCTTAACTGTTACAAACATACCTTTGTTCCCTCAGCAAATCAGGATTCATTATTTCTGAATCTCCTCCATCATCATTTCCATTTTTCATTCCTTTCTTAGCAAATCTTTTCTCTTCCCGCCTGAATGCTTTTGATACTTGTTTTTCTTGATCAGTCTAAAAATATTATAGAAATTAAAACTGGAAATTTTCAAAATCTTCCAGGTAAATCCATGGAATATTACATTGAAAAAAATTCCATATAATGAGAAAAAGGTTACCTGAACTGTGACCTGACATCCATATGTAGGCCGTGAATCAATAGATTTGAAACGAGATCCTAGAAGAAAAAAACAAATATTTAAGGTAATAACAAACGCAATGATTCAAAAGTCCCTTTAACGTCTTTTCTTGGCATTGGACCTTTAAAGTTTACCTCCATATTCTTCAATTTTGATAACGAATAACAAATTACGAATTATCCCTTTTATTAACGAAATATCTAATCATGTGACTGAGCCTCATGTTATGCCCCATCACGCATAGCCGCAAATGAGGGTCAAAATTACCAGATTCTAATATTTCTCTTCTCTTTTGATCCTTGAGTAAATCCTGTCTATGCTCCAATAATTCTTGAATCAAATCAAATCTGTCAAATCCAAGTAAATCGAACAGCTGAAAAGAATAGCAATTGTTAGAAAATCAGACAAAGATACTCGGTTATTTATCATTGTCATCAAACTTTTCAATGTACGAGTATTTACTATTTGAACTAAGCAAGATAAACTTTTAAAAGGATAGATCAATTTGGTGTTGTCTTTATGATTCAGTTATAAACAAAAAGTATTTTTCGTAAATATAAAATAAATCCAGTAAATCATTAATATAACAATAATTCCATAAAGTTTCTTAAAGGTGAGCATAGTTCAGTTTGCAAAAAATATAAATTTTGGCGATGCGGAAAACGTTAAGAAACAAATGCCTAAAAATAAAATCCCATACCACCGTGAGAGGGAAGTACCCAAAACTGACCTCATTTTGCAGATGATCATTGGATGATGAAGATTGAAGTAAAGACATTATATTTGGTAAAAAGTGATCGGAGTGAAAATATCTGGAAAGTTATCACATATATATTAATAAAGAAAAGGCCACAAAAAAAAAATAATTGTCTTTTTTTGCAAACAGTTGCAGCTCCTTTTTAAAATAATAAATCAGATTTTAGAAGACCAAAAGCTCTTATCAGATGGTTTACAGCAGTACTTACAGCAAATTTTAAATGCTTAAAAACGTTTGCTTGATGTTAACCTAATGGGAAATATTTCGATCCAAGTCCAGAGCCAATCAGAAGTCTGATTTCAGCTCTGACTATTGACACCGTAGATAAAATTTAGCCAAAAATTCCAAAAAAAAAACAATCTTGTAATATTGGTTGAAAATATGGTCTCTCGTAAGTAGCTATACTTAATAATACTCTTCACTCACTTCCGTAAATTTTTCTCTAGCCATGGAACATCAAATGAAGAAGATATTTTATTTGAACTTGATGACTTTTCAGTAGCCTTAACTTGTGATATAGTTAGTTGTCTAAATGAATCAGTTAGTTTATCATTATTGTCGTTTTGAGCTTCATCATCAGAATCCATCTCTGTACTTTGCAACAATGATGGTAAATCATTTGAAAACTAAAACAAGAGAGCAATTATTATCAATTATATGAACCCACTGGTCAAATATCTAAACAAATGAGTTGAAGTAGAACAGCAAAATTTTGAGTGCGGCATTGAGCCCGTATTGAACAAAATAAAAAAAAGATTAGCATTTTGTTTTCAAATATATAGGAATTCAGTCGTAAAATGATGTTATTGTCTTATTCACCATAGACAAACTAGTTAGTAAATAACCTAGTATTATTGCTCATTTACTTCAGAAAATGTTTGTGTTTAGTGAACGATTGTTCAGATTGTTCATAGAAAATATTAAGCTGAACTCCTATAGAATGACCATTATAGATCAATAGCTATTCGAACAGCTTTTGGTCAAGTTGGTCATCCTCCTTTTATATGATAATACTAGATATATTTACATCACCATTCAACCAATCAAATATAGATACTAATTGTTATTTTGAGCAATAATGGGAATCAGGAAATGTAAGAGCCTTCCTTCCTATGATATCACAATATCAACCACATAAACAGATCAAAATTATTCAGTGGTGATAAAAACTAAAATCAAAATTGAATCTGAAAAATTTGTTAAGCACCTTAATTTTAGTTCCGAATGTTGTTGCTGTTCGAGTTTCATCCACTTGTGATTTGATTTTGTTGAAAACACTTGGTCCAACAAAACTTTTAATTTTTTTTACAGTCTCATGAAAATCTCTTATATCATTATTGGTTGCTGTAGGTAAAGTTTTCCTGTAACACACAATAAAGAAGCTTGTTTTATTGAAGCAAATAACTTCAATAAGAAGATTGCTAACTTAATTGCAGCTTTGTTACATTAATTACATCTATTACGGTATATCAAATTTACAAACTTTTTGAAAGTCTTCTGCACTGACTAAATGTTTTTTTTTTATTATTTTTATATTTTGAGAATATTTCTCAAAGCGGGGTCACAAGAATTCACTCAGAAATTAAAGAGATTAACCCCTGAGTGGGGTTATGTAGCTATGGAGGATCACCGAAATATCAAGAGCCACTGACACTATAAAGAATACAGTGTGGTAATATGAGTGATAATGATTGATAACGGCTATTTTGAGATACCGTGGTATAAGAATGTAAAAATAAGAAAATGTAAATCAGTATCAAAGTTTGATAATAATATAAAAGAAATTAGTGAAACTAAGATTGTTTCATGTCACTATTAATATCTTGCCTATATAAAAAATTGTTAAGTATTTTGTCAGTTACCTGCTTGATTTTCTGAAGGGTTTGGTACTCATAATATTATTTTGGGGTTTTGTCCACCGTTCTGAATAATCTTTATTAATACTACGTTTTAGCAAATAAACAGGCTCTAATCATATAGATTCAGGAAAGCTTTATAATTGATAAATCATTATTCCTTATCCCTGATTAATAAAACAGGTTTCAGTCTACAGGGTGGGCCAAAAAAATTACCATTTTTCATATTCTGACAATTAAAAAATGGTAACACTCTGTGTGATATCTTTTTTTAGTAATGGTTGATTACTGTGTATTCGGAATAAAAATTATAAAAGCATCTACGATTACTAAAGATTGTGATTTAGTGCAATAGCTATTTAATTAAACTGTGCTGTGCCCTCCGGTGATGAGCAATAAGCTGATACCAAACAATATTCAAACTTGAGATCTGTAGTCTCCAATACAAATTGATACCAATTTGCAACAACAGGCAATCATACATGAAATAATAATGACAACAAGCCTATTAGTATTTCTGGCATATTCAAAATTAAATTTAATTTTTCAATCAACCAATTCACCTAATTTTATTGATATGCTTCGATTCAACTTGTTCCAGGGTCATGGTTGTAAGAAATATTTCAGCAGCAAAAGTTTCTTTCATCTCTATATTTTCATCTTCACCAACTAAAATTACAATAAATAATACATACAATAAAAGTAGGCTAATAGATAATTTGATATTTTTTTTAATTACAGACGTTAAAAATGTAATTTGAAAGCGGTTGCATGAAAAAATATTATTTTATTTAGTGAGAAAAAAAAGAGACCATTTCATTAAGAATGGGTATATGTTATCTAACAAGTGCATACATATCCATATTGATTCCCAACAGATATTTGAATTCTTAAGAAAACCAGTAATCAGAATTTAGAAAATAATGTAATCTTATACTCCACTGCGTAATTTTATCTATAAAATAAATCATTAATTCCTACTTGTGGTATTTGCAGTATTTGTGTCTAAATATCACATACTTATCTATCATTATAAAATTTACAAATTAGTATTAATTAACTAGAATTCAATGTCAATATTTAAATATACATTTACAAAATAGTTAATAAAAGTTTTCATACCCATTTCCCCAGCTTGACTTATTAATTCGAGTACATATGACCGTAATTGTTTCGAAGAATGCCTTTGTTTGCATCCCGTCCATAATATTGTAACCAACTCTTGCCATGTCAAATCAGAAGGAGAAGAATGTCTTCTTGCCTGAAATAGCAATAACAGAATGAAGTACCTGTAATCTACTTTTGAAAAATGCAAAATTCTATCTTCAGATTTTATGCCACAAGCGCATATTTTTCAGATATACGATTACGCTGTTTTATCGGCTTTCCTTTCCACGAAATAATTATAAAATCCCTTTCTTTCTTGAACTGATTAAACAAAAAAAAATAAAAATTTCTGACCTTTGTTTGGTCAAATACTTCTGAAATATCCTGCGAAACATTTCCAAACTCTCTTAGAGCAGTAGTTAATCGGGGATCTTCTCTCCACGCTGTCGCCATTGTCTATTTTGGTATCATAAATTCCACTCACTGACAGGAGCGTATACAGATGCAATCTACCCCCAAACAACCGCAATCAATCGGCTGATACAGTGATCGAAGACGGCACTTTCCGATTTTTCCTGTTTCGGTGTTTGTTGCAAGTGCAGTTTCAAGTATTTTGTGGCGTCTACAGCTGCCGCAAAACCATGGCGGGATTTCCAAACCAAGGCCACTAAGACCAAACCCACGGCGACTGACTTTTTAGCTGCCACAAACCAATAGCGAGCTGCCGTGGTTACGGCAGCAAATCGAATACCACCAATTTTACTGCCGTAACCACGGCAGGTCGGCTGTAAAAGCAGGGCTGCCCCTAATCTGCTGATGGTGATAAATATTTGGTGAGTTGGAATGTTTTTCTTATGGATACAGTTTGGATGGATTTGGGGTTAGGGTTAGAGTTTAAGTAGATATAATTTCGCATGATAAACTAAAATATGGTACATAAATTTGTAAATATACCGGTAATAGCGCCATAAAACCATGGCAGGAGACGGCGTGGTACGTTCGTGGCAGGAGCTGCCATGAAGTGGTAAGAACTGCGCCTCGTTTGTTGACATCCTGCAACACGGACACCAATGGAATATTAGTACAACCTTTGACCTCGAAATGAATCGAGTATGTTGCGTACACATGTTGCAATAACATAATAATATAGGAAAGTTTTTATTGTAATAAATCACTGTTTTCAATTTTTTTAAATATGATACAATTTATATCACACGACTTAAAAAGAAAGAATGAATGTTATCAGTTTTCTGTCGATTACGTCACAGGAATTAAGTCAGGTATGACCAATAAATCCAGCGGTCCATCTCTTTACCTTCTCGTCGTATGGGTATGTAGCCGTTTTCACATTGCTTGTATCATGTGTAATCCTTTTTATTCTCGTGATCGTATATGTGATTGTTTGGAAATTTAAATAGTTATAATGTAGCAGATTTAATATTCAGTGTATCAACGTGTGGAATTATTTGTCTGAGGCTTGACAGGTGAGGTGAAAATGGACAAGCTGATTTCTTGTTCGAATATTGTATGAATGAGGCATCGCATCATTATCAGCTTGCTTGTAAAAACTTTCATTCTTCGAATTTCAGTGAGTCACCATGGCGCCTCGTAAGCAGCGCGAAACGAAAACAGAGGAGGTTGTTAACCTTGGACCACAAGTTGCAGAAGGAGAAAATGTTTTCGGTGTGGCTCACATCTACGCTTCATTCAACGACACTTTCGTGCATGTCACGGATTTGTCTGGAAAGTATGTTGGTTATTTTCAATCCTCAATAAATCTAGACAATTATCACATTGTTAAGTGCATTAATAATGCAACTTGCATTTTCAGAGAAACGATTGTACGAATTACTGGAGGAATGAAAGTAAAAGCTGATCGTGATGAAGCTTCTCCGTATGCTGCTATGTTGGCGGCACAAGATGTGGCTGCAAGGTAAATTTTGAATTGATGCTTAGTTCAGTAGTCTAATAAAGATTCCTGAATTAGGCTGTGCAATGTTTGAATTTTGCCCACAATGCATTTTCATCTTAGTAAATTCAGCTTCACCGTTTACTGTCATTAACCTAATTACTGAATTGGGATGAAAGAGGGATAGCATTAACATCATTACTGAATCCGACACCAGCCATATTCTATACAAAATTTGCTCCATAGCATAGTTGCAGCATAGTTCAGTGGTTACAGCATGGATTGTTAATGTCTTTGCAGTCTCATTATTTCTAAATTAATTATTATTTCCATATTTCCAGTGATGTCCATGTCATTGGGTCTCGTGTAGTTTCGTACCTAACGTACTTCTAGTAGGCGTAGCATAACAATTTTTTGACATGCCAATCCTAACCCTCACCTGACTACGCCATCCAAAAATTACGTCACTACGACGTCACAATCACGTCATAGAGCTTGTCAAATACTCGTACGATCGCCCGAAATAGCATCGGCGCCGACGATAAAGAACTGGCTGACGTCAGCGACCTCTCTCCTATCGGGATCGTTGCGACGAGAAAACGAGAGAAATGGCTGTTCGATTTCGGGTTCTCGTCTGCGCGTCTTGGATGACAGTTCGCATAGTTTGAAGCGCTCTATTACGTCACTGTGACGTCGTAGTGACGTAATTTTTGGATGGTGTGGTCAGGTGGGGGTTAGGATTGATATGTAAAAAAATTGTCATGTTACGCCCACTAGAAGTATGTTAGGTAAGAAACTACATGAGACCCCATGTCATTATAGCTATCCATGTACTAATTTCAGTACCGTAAAACCGGCTAACTTCGGATGATTTCACTATACTTCAATCAATATCTCTGCCGTTTGTTGTCCAATTCGCGTCAAATTTGGAATATATTACATTGATGCAATTCTCTGCACACGCATTTAATTTTCTCGTCGATCGGATCATTTTTTCTGTCCTAATTGTCTCATTTTTCACTACACCACTAAATATCTAACTTCGGATGGGGAATCACCTCCATGTGTCACCGCAACTCGAGCGAAAATTGCGTGCGTGAAGACAAAACACGCTCTACGTCGTTGCGAAAATGCCAGATGTTCAATCCACGTCGCGAGTGGCGGTGATAATGATGACCGTAGGATTTCTGGTGCGGCACTTTCAAGTTGTTTTTATACTAAAATGTCTCGTTTTATTTTCTCTTATCGTAACTTTAGATCCGAATATTCACTGATCATAGCCGATTTTGCTATAGCCGATAATGTTTGGATAGCGTTTGTATATTCCACATCGTATATAGTCACACGATAAATATTATTGAGCATGCATATGACCGGATTCTTTACTAAATTGACCTATTAAAATGTCCGCCGCGCATAAATCACGACAAAACACCGATTTGGCAAAAATTACTTTAGTTAAATTCATTTAACGGAACTCACTTGCAAGTGTTGCAACAATGATTCTTGTTATTTATTTTTATATTTACGCAACATTTCTTGACTGCTTACAATTTTTCTATTTTAAACCATGCTGCCGTTCCAAATGGTGGAATTTGAATCGACAAATCGAACGAAAATATTTTTCGTTAATTGCCATTTTAATAAATTTGATTAAATTACATTTCCAACATTTGACGGCGTGAATTTAAGATCCACAGGAAACTGTTGATGTGTATATTTTAGCCGATATTGATCCAATCGAACAAAATGTCGCTGTTATTTTCAAATATACGCCAACTCGTCGGCGCCCGAATGTCTGGCGTCAAATCTGTAACGACGACGCAACATGACGTCGTCTTCGAAGCGAGCGACGTCATGGTGACGTCGGTTCAATGTGTGCGTCAGATGCTATTATTTTGATGTAAAAAGACTATTTGAATTTGAATTATTTCTCGAGTCTCCTGCGACATCTTGCGATCAGTCTAATTTTGTATATACATTGGTAACGCCCTCTATCGAATGACGGTGTTTTGACGAAGTTAGCGTAGTTAGAAGTCACGATTTAAGCCGCTCGAAAACGGAGTGTCAATTTTTTGCTAAAACGTGATTTTTCAATCAAAAAATAAATAAAACTGCGCGATTGATCATGATAACAGATTCAGATATATAAGGACTCACTATAGAAACTGCCAGAAGCACAATATGACGCAATTTAGTCGAGATATAAACAATTGAAAATTTCATCCGAAGTTGGCCGGTTTTACGGTAGTGTCCCTGCAGCAGGAAGATATTCAGAGCCCTGAAATGTGACGTGGCGCATTGGTCTTTTGAAATGGTGTGCTAGGAGAGTTGTATAATCCAAAGTTGGTGTAAGTTTCAGGCCATGGTGTAAGAGTTGTCTGGTTAGCATTGCCAGATTGTATTTAATAAAGTGAAGTTCAATGCAAGCGAGTTTAGCCAGCTCTACATCTATTACTTCTATGTTGCTGTCGAATAAATTCTCACATTCTGTGGTACCATGCTGCACTCTTCCCTTTTGCACTGTTCTGTGTGACAAAAGTGTGTTCTCAGCAGCAACATTAATATGCTAGTATTCAGTTGGGCAAATCATGCCTGTATCCGAGTATTATCATACAATTTATATCAATGTTATTAGTGCTTAGCAGCCCAATATTGTTGGAATTTCATGTCACATTTCCTATGCAAAGCGCTAGATCGAATGTTGGATTAGGTTTCTATGTAAGAGGTTGAGAAACAATGTATATGGAAATTTACTTTTGATGTACATTACTGATTCTCTTAATTTTTCCAGATGTAAAGAACTTGGAATAACTGCCCTTCACATAAAATTACGAGCTACTGGAGGAACAAAGACTAAGACTCCAGGACCTGGTGCTCAAAGTGCATTGAGGGCTTTGGCTCGTGCCGGAATGAAAATTGGCAGAATAGGTAATTTTTTTGCTTTTTCTTTCAGAGATAGATGGATGTAGAAGTTGGTATTCTGATACTTTACTGTGATGTATTGTATGACTTATTTAGCATTCAATTCTTGTGATTCAGATTCATTGCCTTGCTTCGTTTACTCGAATTGTATTTTTTCCTTTGTCTCTTATCGAAGCCATGTTTAACTTACAATGTTCTTCTTGGTCAAAATGAGACAAATAAAAATTCTTGCCTGACGGTCGCTGGCTTGTTGAAATCTGTTCATGATCAGCATTACTAAAGGGAGAGACAATTCTATACAAAAATAAATATCATTTGTGCATATCACACTATTATAGTATTGGCGGTGTGACGCATCGTGCTGAACACTTGGAATACGCTCACCACTGCACTCCTGATACCTTTCGTGGCTCGCAGGTTCGAATCCTATGTGGGGTAAATTATGTGCCAGAGGATTGCTTGACTCCTTGCCACTGGCTAACTGATCCCATCCCCGAGATGGACTGGTAACCAGACAAGAGACCGTGGTTCGCCATACATTTGGGCGGTATCATCGGTTCTCCTCCCAGGGATAAATATGTAAATCCTTTCCTGTTACACCAAATTTTCTTTTTGCAGAGGATGTCACCCCTATTCCATCAGACAGCACAAGGCGAAAGGGTGGACGTAGAGGAAGACGTTTGTAATTTTTGCCTTCTCTGCTTAAATTCAAAGATATAAAAACGAACTTGCTTTGTTGTTTGGTTTAGTAAATCAGTATTTATGACAGGTACTTGTAGTATCAAGGTGGAGAGCAATAGAAATGGCTATAACCGAATACTGGACTATTCTAGGTACATCCTAAAATATATATTTTCCAATATGGAATTCCGATTACACTTTCTAAAAATCAGGCGCATAAATATTATTCGCTCATTAAAATCCAGTGAAATAGAAATTGCTTAATGATATATATCATCGTAGTAAAGCAGATAAGTAGACCGTTGCACGTGTAACGGGATTGAAATTTTGAAGCCTTCTGCGTGAGGATAGCAACACCACTGTGTCAATGCTGATGAATTGTAGCTTTCAGCAAGGAAGGCAGGAGCGCAGTGAAATGTTTTGAATAGTTGATTTCCAACTGGTGTTGGGTGAAAGGCATTGAGTGTCAAGTTGTTGTTTTTCAATTTTTTCCGATGGACATGTTTATGATGTAACAAAACTTATACTTGGATATAAATGGTGGCGCACTTTTTTGACAGTGATATTCCGACATAGCAGCTTGATCCTCTATTTTAATAGCGTGTGGCCTATTCACGACTTTCTGGAATTGTTTGTCGGAAGTGCAAATTTTTCCAGCGATGAGTTGGTCTCCCGTCAGTTTAGGTGTTCCTGTTGGAGTGTGCTGCAATTCGGACTTCTTTGTTTATATTCCGTCCTTGTTAGGCATTCCGAATCGAATAGTAACTTATTCGAATCGGTTCAGAGCTTACATATGACTCTTTTATGTAAGTTATTGATAAAAACGTGTTATTTAGTGTGTGTGAGCGCTCAGCAATCTGCCTGAGTGATGCATTCTATGTTTTCTGTAATTTATGTGTCTGGGAGACCTAATACAATAAGAAAGTTACATACAATTTTATATCTCCCAAGTATTCGAGATTCAATTCGAAAAAAATATTCGATTCTGAAATCATCAGGTATTCGAAAGTGCCCAGCCCTCCTTGTTGTTCTTTGTGTTGTAATCACTGATACTTATCACCACTTGTATGTTAACCCTGTCTGTTTAAAGAACCGGTAACCGAGATGCAGATATTTATTAAAACGATACTCGAGTTTCTCGTGCTTTTCTATAGTGTTCATGTTATTTCAGTATGAGATGGATAAACCTCGCAAATCTGCGATTGCGTGGATCCTGAATGTTGATTTAAAATAGCGATTAAATAAATTGGCAATAAAGGCATTCCTAATTATAAATAATTCCTTCAAGTTTCAACTTTTTTTTTTAACACAACAACACCTCGACGGTTTTTATAGCCAAAACACGTACTGAGTAATGCTCAATTTTATTTACGGAATTTGCAAATTTAACACTACACTTAATGCTTTTGATTATGTCATGCCTAAATATTACTGCCCAAATGCTTCAAAATTTAACGATTGTAATCATTTGCGATGATAATAGGCGCAAAAATTATTAAACAAGTCAGTGTACATTGTTACAGCAAAATTCACGATTGATTTTACGTTCTACTCTTGGCTCAACGGCCGTGCATGGTCGAGTAAAATGTATACATTTTCGAAACATTACTTGGCAATGACGGAAGGGGTCACTAAAGAGCTAATACAAAGTGCTTTAAAGGGAGTAGGACATGACATTTATTATCTGTGTTTTTCATACAAGTAACCAGCTTTTGGAAAAACTTTGACTGGTCATTTTTAAATTCATGCTATTCATAAACTCTAATTTTTTGACGTATATGGGAGAAAGACTGTCAACCCTATGTATATGAGTTCGATTCCCGCACGGTCGTGGGTCAAAATATAAGGAGAAAGACTGCGTCTTATCCCTACTGCGTGTTTGGCTCGCGCGTTATTGGGTTGACAGTTTTGACACACGCTTATTTGATCACAACTCCGATCTGAACTCCTCAGAAGTCAATGAGCAAACAAAATAAATTAGATGCCAAATGTTTGTATATTGTAAAGATGCACAATTCAATTGATCCAAAAACAGATAACAAATAGCACTTAAAACCTTAATGCAGTATGAGGGATGAAACCGAATTTCTAACTAACAAAGAACGATAAACACTGAGCGAGAGAAAATATATCGTAAAGGGAATGAATTAGTGCAACGACCTTGTTTCAGGCGAATAACATGCACTATTAACAATACGTGGTGAAAATATTAAAATACACAGTTAATACCCTAATGTACTCGCTACAGACAACCTAAAATCGCCCTATTCACAATGAAACGCCGAAAAGTCCTTTTAACATTAATTTTGATTTTAATCAATTTCATGTTCGGGTCATGCAAAAAATGGCTACTGACATGGAGTTTAAAATCTGGGAAATTCATTTTATATACCTAATCTGGTTTGACGTTTCTAAATTTACAATACGGTCGGTATGTTTTTTGCAAATTATGGAATTGAAACGATACGTTAAGTGCAAAGAAAAGCATATAACACCGTAACGCAAAGACAACGACTTTTCAAATTTGTCGCTTTTTTCTGGTAGCTAACGCCGTGGGGTAATCTCGTACAATTCATGATTGAGTTGGAGACGCGCGAGTTCGGTGTCCAAGCAGAACGGCGCAGGTCACGTGGTAAGCACATCACGACAATCATACTATAATAAATTGAAGAACAGTGTACGTACATAAACACGAGAGAACAAAATTCACGGAAGATGCTTACTTGTAAAGTTGTAAATAATTTTGATGAGTGAAAGTCGTTAGGAATAATAAAACAATCAGAAGTTTTGCGACGGTGCCTGTGCCGAAATGTGAATACCAATAATAACATTCAATTGATTTGCTGCTGTTTTTTGTAAACAATCAAAGGTAAAAAGTAAACAACAAACATAAAAACTAATTTCGGACGTTGCTTCTTATGTAACAAAATCGGTACGAATTTAGAAAGTTTTTATTTGTAATTTCGAACATTTGCCAAAGATGGTCAGGAAATTACCTAAGTTCTGACTAGGGATGTAAGTTTCAGAATTTCGGATCAACGTCAATTCGAATCGAAGCAATTTGAGAAAAGTGGGCTTGATTCTATTTAAAAAAAATTCAATAGATAACACAAGGCAAAAAATAAAAATAACAAAAAATAAATCTCAGCCGTAATATATTTGGTAGTTGACACATCCATGCCGTGTGTTTTTCTAGTAACTTTCTTAATTCTTTAAGCTCATTATTGTTATTTTGTCGAAATTTATACTATATTTCCTCCAAATTTGAAAAAATTCATCGATAATATGATGATATACTAAATAGAATCAGATTCGGAAATATTCAAATCGGAACATTGCGATTCGAAAAAAAAATATTCGAAACTTACATCCCTAGTTCTGACACGGATTATCGACCCAAAAGATTATCTGCACATCCCAGGTGCACTGAAAAGTTGAAGGATGTAATACTTTCGAGGGGATGTGCCACATCTCACAGTATCTATTCCCGAAGCTGTGCGTCTTTTTCATACAAGCGATAGTACATGTGACACACACTATATATGAATAAATCTCTTCCTGCCATCTAATCGACCCTGCGTTTTGCAATTTGCGCCTAATTAGGATAGGATTTACATATTTTTCCCGGGGGAGAGGAAAGCCGATAAGGCGGCTTAACCATATGGCGAACCACCGCCTCTCGTCTGGTTACCATTCCCTTGATATGGGATTAGTTTGTTATTTTGAGGCATGAACTTGATGGTGGAGGGAAGCCGTAACTGACCAGCGGTTACGTGAACCACCCTACGGCGGCGAGGAGTCCAGCAATCTTCTCGCGCATAACCATTCCGCATGGGATTCGAACCTACGCAGAGTAATTATTAGAGGTGCGGCGTTGAGCGTATTCCTAACGCTTAGCATGATGAGCCAAACCGCCATACCTTTTGTGTTACAATGGCTGCTACTCGGTACTCCCATCAAACTGAGAATGGTTCGAGAGAGTAAGTCAGTAGTAAGTTTCGTTTGGTCTTCTTGAATTTGCACAGCATATACAAGTTATAGGGGGGCATGATTAGAGGGGAAATTATCTATAATACCAAAATGAAAGCTTTTCGGTATAGATTTTTGTGTGGGTCTTATTTAAACTCAAATAATATTTAAAAAAAAACAGAATTGGAAAGCCGAACTGTTAACCGCATGCGCTGAAGCCATTATAAGCCTATTATAGCTGTAGCTCTATTCTAAAAATGTGCAAGACGTCAAGAGAAAAAACTGATATATTATCCTGAAGTAATAAAAGGTATTTCATCTGAGCACTGCAAAGTAAAGAGAATAAAACAAAGTCTAGGATTACATTTCTGCCAAAAATTCATCAAAAGGCTGGAACTACTGAAAAAAATCTTACAATATTATAGGTAAAAATGAAGAAGATGCACAGTAGGAGTAAACTAATGGTGACATGGAAAAGTATTAGACAGCAATATTTAAAATGCTCAGTGTTTATATAGCAATGAAAAGTTGCAATTATTCCCGTATGTTTTTCATGGGAAACATGATATTGTGAAAACTGTATGCGAGAAATTTAAGACATAAAGTCATTTGAGATTTATTTAATATATCAGTCTTAGACTCAATGACTGAAACACATATAGTAAACACATGATATTTACCCTTATATATTCTTATACAAACATTGATAAACCATTTCTAAATATAAAATAAAAAAAATTCTGCTGAACATTATACAAAAATAAATACACTGAGGGAATGCTGGATCATTAATTATCTTCTTGTTCTTTCAAATAAAGGATCCCTAATTGACTCTGAGAACCTTCTGTTAGACTTTTTGTTCTCAAACATGCATTATATTGATCTGAAACAAACGATAAGTTATTATCAAACAATGATGTCACACCATACGATAAAAGCTTACATCTTCTCAAACATCAATCTGAAAACTTTGAAAAAATCATCAAACTTTTTCATGGTAACTAAAACTTCATTGTTGTGCACCCAAATAGCAACAATGTAGCAATGAACATGGTAGCACCAACTTACTAAAACTGTCAGCAGAAAATTCATGTGGTGTCAAAATTTTAGGAATAAGGAAAAATATATGTACCGTAACAATATATAAAAATAATAGCGAGTGAGTTAAAAGTGAAAACCAAGTTTGATCCGAACATAAACAAATATGCAATGATAAAATCAATCCACTTAATGTAAAATAATGCCAAAATACTTACCTAAAGATAGTGCTTTATCACAGTGTTTGGGATGCCAGTGGTGAAATAACGAATTAACAGGTGTTCTAACAACCTGATATTTCATTGATCTTGTGTATTTTCGATAAAGTAAAACATCTTCTGATCCCCATCCCTTGATAGTTAAATCAAATCCACCTTAAATGATAAACTATTTTTAACAGCACCAAAGATTAAACTTTTGTGTAGTAAAGTAAAGGGTGTATATAGAATTAAATTAACTAACAAGCAAATGCTATAAATCTAATAAACATACCTATATCATTAAAATCATTTCTATATTGGCAAGTCATTCCAAATCCAAAATCTCTCCAAAAACCATTATCCCTTTTGATGACTTGTTGTTCGATCAGCGATGGAATGCTTTTTCCTTTATAAACAATCTCAGGATTGTATAAACTGAAAACGATAGGGTAGAAAACACGGCTGCCTGAATAATGAAAACAGTGTTAGTGATGATGAAACTGCTTTCTAAATATACTAACAGGAGCGTAGCCAGGCGGATGGGGTTGGGGGGTCAAACCACCCCATCCCAAACCCTTTTGAAATGTAAAAAAATAAAAGCATCTTTCTGTATCATAAATAGCAATTTTTCGTAGCTTGAAACGCTTTTTAGACCCTCAAGACTCATGAGAACACACGTTCTTCGGCCATACCCGTTAGGTGTTTCAATCTAACTTGACAAATAGAAATTTCAGACCCCCCCCCCCCCCCATCAAAAGTTCTGGCTACGCCCCAGTATACTACTATACCATTCTATATATACTGCAGATATGAGAATATTATGTTCTAAAATGATGTTGGCAATATTGCCAATATAGATGTCAAATGCAATCACAACACAGGACTCATAATTGGAAGGAAATTAACAGGAAAATGGAAGTCTGTGAATATTTACATGCCAAGTCCTAAAAAGAGTACAACCTCATTTTTATAAACACCTTATGACTAGCAAAACAATGAAAAGGAACTGACCACACACACTTAATATTTCACAATTATAAAAGTTAACGAAGTGGTTTAGTTCTAGGATTGCACTATATCATAGAAGTCCCTTACCTGGCCGGGTTTGTGATCTGCATTGGGATAAAAAGTGAGTAGTAAAAAACATATCAACATCACAAAAAAACATCAGTGGATTTTTTCCAGGTAGTGCAACTGTACCCTCTTGTAAAGCTGTAAATTAGATATAAAATCGCATCGATTGCTTGTCTAAATACCTATCTTTATATCTTAATTAGTTGTCTTTATTTATGAAATGAGTTATCCTCCAACCATGGATTATGTAAATATTTACACCAAACCCCAAGACAAAATACAAATTCAGGATACTGGGAATTTTGACTCCAGGTCACAAGTTTGAGAAACTAAATTTCGATCAGAAATATATTCAGTTACTCTCTAATTGTCTGTTGAGAATGCTTCAAATATCATCAACAGAAGTCTAAAATTCAGACTTTCGATTATGCAGAATTCAAAAAGTCCATTGTAACTCAATTCTCAGAGATATACCGTCTCAGAAATCTTCCTGCACATAATAATCCAGTGCAGGGTTTGAACATGCATAGCATTATAGAGTAATCAGAAATGTGAAAGCAAGTATGATTATAATAAGAATAATCGTTACTTAACATGCAATGACATAAATAACCTTTTCCTCTCGAAAATGTCTCTGATTGTTTTTCAACTACTCGATAAGATTTGAAACCAATTTCCACTTCAAGTTGTTTCAAAATAGTTTTTGCTTCAGTAATAGCTTCGTCTCCATAACAGACAACAGTTAGGTGGATATGTCCATCGCCTGATATTGCAGCAGTTTTAAAATTTTCTATAAATTTTCTGAATAAAAATACAAAATTTGAAATGACGAAATTAATCCTGATTAATAAACATACAATAAACGAATAATTTGATATTTTCAGATCTGTGAGAAATTCTACCCACTGGTGAGAAAACTTGATTTTAAAGGTAACTTTTAAATCTCCTGCTACCAAACGGCAATAAGATGCATACAAGTTATACACTCCTCAATGGATGTTAGTTTTCTTGTAGTGGTTACAAGCAATCGGTATTCAGCCACAAATCGATACAATCCAAACTGGAGATAGGTTGTTACAGAAAATCTTCATTTTGAATCTTTATCGACCATGGCTAATCCTAATGCTATATTAAATCAATTTTTACCTAAATGCATCTGCTCTTCCTTGCAGTGGAGTGATAATATAAATTGTTTCTGTTGATTTTTTAACTGTCGATGAAACGGAATGTAAAGGACCATAGGGACGAAACATTGTAATAAGATGTACTGGTGCTGAAGTGTTCACCTAAAAATTTAAAATTCTCTAATGCAGAGCCAGAGTGAAATACTATAGATTGTCTTCTTACGTTTTGTAAGAAAACAATTTGGTAATTAATAATACAAAGATCAGAGAAAATGCAAATAAATTTCATTAATTTGACATTAACAATAAGGGTAATACATCTTAATACCTTGTATTATGATTCCTATACATAACTGGATTATGTTGCTCTCAATTATGTAATTTATGCCCACTGATTACAGCAGCTAAGTTTTTTTTTCTGATAGTGGAATTAGTAATACCTATACTTGTTAACTATCAAAAAAGACCACATCAAAATAATATTACTTGTCCATGTTGCCAATTATTGGTAAATGTTATAAATATTAATTCATATCACATAATACAGCCTACTGGATGAGTTAGAATTTAATTCATAAGTTTATGTCCCACAGCGGCTCAGCGCCCCTAATAATTTTGGTCCTCAAACAGTGATTATATGTCTAAAAACTCTCCTTAGATTTAAAATTTTTACACTTACAGTGGATCGGAAAACCAATTCATATTGAGTCCCAACTTTTTGTTGTGTTCTGTAGTAACCTGAATATATGTACCAACATAAAAATGGCCACCAGACAAACAAAACACATCTCGGAAACAACATGAAAACTAAGAATTTGTTGGAAATGTTTAGAAATCGATCAGGTGCCAAAATCCAAAAACTACGGGTAATTGGTGTGAAAAATAGCAACTATATGCCAAGCAGAAAATATTATGAACAATGGCTGTGACGAAGATAAGCTTATTTGTCTAGTAAGTAAACAATGAAAAGTATTGGAACTGTTAGAAAAAGCATGTCTGTCTATATGAAATCATATAGCAATAAGTAAAACGTTGAACATCAAAAAACGAACTTGTCAATAAAATTGTTAATATGCTATTTAAATATTGAACCGGAATATCTTAAAATTAACGCCCAAAAGCATATTTGTCTATAGCCAATATAATTTGCAAATTTAACAGAACGTGACTTTATTTTAAATTTATCATACAATGCAAAAAATCAAACAAACCCTCAACAAAATCCAATGTGCCATCATTTAATAATTCTGTGGCTGCATCAATAACTTCTTTTAAATCCTCTTTAATATCCTGAAAAAAATTCAATGGTTTTTCAGGCATCTTCATCAGGCCCATATCTGATCCATATAATGAATATCTGCCAAAGAAAAGCAATATTAATTATCCCATACAGTGCTAAATTAGAAAAAATATAAAAGCGAATATTTGTGAAAAACATAACCAACTTGTTGAAAGATATAAACGGAGTGACATCATATTCATTCTTAAATTGATGAGGCTTCAATAAATACGCATTGTCAACCTGTATAGTAACAGAAGAGTAAGGTTGAAATACTGGCAACTATATAAACTATTATTTTTAAAAATAAAATGTACCTGTGACATAAGATAATGTGATATCTTGTCTGCATCGGGATATAAATCAGATTTTATAAGTGATAACTTTCCACCCTTTAAAAAAAAAATATAACATAAGACAATAAATAAATTAACAAATTGTTTCAGTTACATAAGATAAGTTACATTGGTTAAAAACTGCAAAATTTGAACACCTTTGTACAATAGTAACTTTGAGTTGGGTTGCGCAAGACCAACTCCCTATCCTTCCTTCCTCTATGCATATACTGCGTATACTGCAAAGATGCTGTAGCAGGAATAAACATGACTATTCTATCCAATTAAAGAGTCCTGCTGTACACTAACAACTATACTATTGTTGTAAACTGCTTGTCTGAGAAACGTTGAAGAAATACATTTGTGTTAGTGTGCAGTAGGACACATTTATTTGTACAATAGGATATGGATAAATCTGAATATCATGGCAAGCAATCTTTTATGCTTTTACGGTGGCACAGAGAAGTTTAATAATACAGGTAAACATTCCAGGACATCCACTAGCTTTATGGATAATGTGTGAAAAATATTATATTATAGTATGAAATGTAGGCATGTGATCCAAGAGTCAAACCCGTGTATGGTAATTAGATTAACAAGATTATTTGTGTATGACAGTAATCAAGTATTAAATTAAATGCATCCAATTTTAAATAGTTTCACAAATAATTTTGTAGTGTAATAAAAGAAATAATTCATTTTGTAGCCTACCTTTTTAACCTCAGTTAATTGTTGTAATTTTAATTGCAGAAGACTTTTCAAATTGTCAATTTGATGGTTGAGACTTGCAATTATCTAAAGAATTATCAACATATAAGCAATATTAGCACTGGAAAATAAATTTATCAATGAAGCCCATCATCAAACTCATTTTTACATCGTCCAGTTTTAAAATTTATTTTCACATGTTGCCGAATTCATCTATAAACTATTTTTGTGAGATAACCTAGTATTCATTTTAAAGTTGGAAAATAATTATAGAATTATGATTATACTATATTTTTGAGTGTCTGAATTAATAATATAATAAACTTTTAAAAAATTCAGTTTTTATTTTTTTATACTTATATTACACTCTTTTTAATTCTGTCTGATATTAAAATGGACTACTAGATTTGATATATTAATGATGTAACTTCTAAAAAATACCTTAGTCGTAGATTGTTCACCATCCTGAATCTTGTTCACTATTAGCTTGCTGTTCTGCATATTTTGTTCCACTTCTGTAACAAACATCCAGTTTGAATTGAAGCGACAAGTTACCATAAAAGATCTTTATAAGGAGATTCAGAAGGTATATTCTCACATTGGTTCTGCATTCAGGCATTTGTATTTGCTTGGCATAAAGCACAACCCCCAATAAATCAGTGGGAATTTGGGTATCGAATGTGATACCTAGATACAGTACCGTAGTCAGGTAGTCTACCAGTATCAGAGTATGTATGCTACATGTTTGATAAACAATGCTATTTCTTTAATATTTTTGATTTCTCAAATGATTTTCTTTACACTGTTACAACCCCTATAGAATCCTATGCTGGCACTGCAGCAGGTATCGGTACTATACAGCTATATTGTGAAGCAAATGTTTTTTATGCAGGCACAGACATACCGTACCTGATAATTCTTTGGGAATCCTGTATCTTTCTAGAAATGTAGCGGCATAATTAGTTTTGAAGTGCAAACTTACAATGAGCAGCACTGAAAACACGACAATTATCCCTACCGACAGCTGCAGCACCAAATTCTTCATCGTATAGCTTCGACGTCGGCTGCATAATGTGATTGGCAGACAAATTCTCATATTCCATCAAACATAACAACCTGGGTAACGCCCCAGACCTACCGCCTACAATAATCACAGCCCATGACCACCAATAAGCGTTACAAAAAGTTAACGGTTTAACCCAGAGGTGCACAACGAATAAGAAACGATTTGATTGATCGATTGGCAACCTGTGGCCGTCGAAGATGAAATACGGTATGCCGCCGTGCTGAATGCTGATGTGTGTTTTACTGCAATATATGCGCTCGACAATAATATCTACAGCGACAGTGGTAATTATTAATTACATAGAATTTCGTTACGAGGGTTGGATTTTTTTACAGCGCCTTTCGCTCTGGCAAGCACCCATCATGAATGTTACATGACATGTTAGATAAGATAAGATGCATTGTCTGTAGTGTACACCCACTGATAACCTCTCTAATACCGCAATATGTAAAGAGGCCACTACCGCGGGGAAAGACTCGGATTTTCCCGTTCAGCATCACCTGCGCAATGTACTTCATTTTCACACTATTACAAATGCCAGGAGTGCACCCAGCAAGGATAGGAATCGGAAATAACCATTCAATTGCTTTTGAAACAGTCATCGCTTTTTCAGTGGGTAGTGATTTTTTCTGTTGCCCAAAATATTTAATCCATGAGTATATACGAGCATAATGTCTTGAAATATAAATTTAATTGATTTCTGCGCAACTGGTAGTTACGTCGACCTACGACATTATAAATGTAATACAGTATTATTTTTGTAAAATATCACGGCAATCTGCGGACTTTAAAATAAGTGGTAAACTGTCCGATTAAATTTTAATTTGATTCGTATGTCTGTGATCGCAAAATTGGTTAGAAAATTCCTAAATTCCCAAGAACTGTGATGAAGTCTTGAAAAGTATATTTTATTTTAGTACAATAAAAAATTGATTGAACATACTTTACATTGATTATGCCATTGGCAAAAGGCGGTAATTTAAGAATGGATAAGAAGGTACATCGCGGGAACTTGTATTTGTTTCAACTTAATAGATTATGATATAATTTCCAATTTTGGCGATCACAGTGTATAAATTAGCGTTATTATTTGTCGCGGAATTCATGGGCGGTAGCCAGAGTGTTTGCCATTGTATATTGTGATGTTACGTGGAGGTGTCTGTAACGTCCTGGTAACGTCCAAGTAACTTGAATTCTCTGAAATCATTTAAAACGAGCTTGTTTTAGTCTAGCCTACAATACCATTATGATAATATATTATTGTAATATTTCACATAGTTTCTAAATCATTTAATTAATACTCTGCCCGGCGTTAAAATATTCATGCTCAGTAAAACAAGCATTTGTTCAGTGTAATATTTTCCTAGAGGGAACACTGATTGGGGACCCTATCCTGAACTTGACACTAGCTTTGACTAACAAATAAATATTTTTTTTCTAAAATACCCAAGCTTTGCACAGTGTATGGGATAGCCTGCTTGTGATTGGTGAAACTAGAAACAATGGAATCAATGTAATGATTAATGCAACATAGGCTAAACAGTGTGGGAAAACACTATGACATCATAAGTTGAAAGCTACAATCAAAACGACCTGCCACGCTGACATCAACTGCATTTCAGTCTTCAATTATTGGACACGTAGTGGACATAATTGGACACGTAGTGGACATAACGATCGTTTCAATATTATGTTGTTGTTGTTCTTGTTCTTGTTGTCCTTGTTGTTGTTGTTCTTTGACACGTTTTTAAAAAGTCGCTTTTCTCTTCGAATACTGGACCAATTGCTTTGAAATTTTCAGTGGTTGAAGATAAAATTTTGGCGCTACGTGTCCATATATTTGAGCATAGCTCTCTTGTGATAAGATAGGATTTACATATTTATCCCGGGGAGATGATTTGAACTCATTTATTAATTTTCACCTAAAATGATTAATTTTTTAATGATAATGAGAGCCGCAGGAAGAATACGTTACGTTGTTTTCCATTCAGGTTTTTAGTCATTTTTATAACACCGTTTTCGTCCATATTCACTCCCTTATTTTCAGTCGTAAATCTTAGTTGCAGATCACTCTTTAGCGCCTCGTCATCGATGATCGCATAAAAACTGCTTTTTTGGACACGTAGTGGACATAACGATCGTTTCAATATTATGTTGTTGTTGTTCTTGTTATCCTTGTTGTTGTTGTTCTTTGACACGTTTTTAAAAAGTCGCTTTTCTCTTCGAATACTGGACCAATTGCTTTGAAATTTTCAGTGGTTGAAGATAAAATTTTTCTCCAGAAGGCTATTACTTTTTTTTTCGCTATGACGTCATCAAAATTATTGCCATTGGGTGGCGCTACGTGTCCATATATTTGAGCATAGCTCTCTTGTTTCAATAATAATGTAAACTCCAGCCTCGGCTATTGTTGCGCAAGGATTAATAATGCTCGTGACTCGTGAGATAGGAAGAATCCGTGGAAAGATATACTCCATTTGATGCCCGCAAATCGATAATCACGCTTGCGAAAAATATCACAAATTATATATAATTTGTTTAACAAAGCAAAAATACGTTGTGCCGTTAACAACATATTTGGTCTCACAGTAATTTCCAGCGGAAGGAAGTGTCACCCTCTCAGTGCTTTGGCTTCGTTTTCGACTGTAGATTAAACCTATCGGAACATCTCGTATTCATTATTTAAATTATTCGATTTGGTAAAAGTATTTAGTCACCGCTAGAAACTTTCACTCAGTAGATTTATTTAAATTTCATCATTTCAAAAACGTTTTAGACGAAAGTCAATGCTATATATAGATAAAAATCAATTGTTTAATAAACAAGAGAGCGATGCCCAAATATATGGACACGAACACTAAGGCGGAGCAGTAAAGGCGGAGCAGTAGTCTACCTTGCTTTTTACAGCACAGGTACCGTCAAAAAAACTCACGACTTTCTCGTAGCAAGAAAGTAGCACGAGAAAGGTCGAAAATCCGCTACAAATAATTTGTATAGAGGTCAGCACTCGAAATTTCTACTTTTAAAACAAATCACATAGAACCCACAGGAAGTTTTGAAATAATTAAAGTAACAGCCTTCTGAGGAAAATACAATCTTTAACCATTAAAAATTTCAAAACAATTGATCGAGCAGGTAATGGGAAAATCGATTTTTTATACGGTAATAACAAGAAGAAAAATACCAACAGGAACGACAACATAATAACAAAACGATCAGTAGGTCAATTTTGTGTCCAATAAATATTCCTCATAAAAGACTTAGATCTCACTGGCTTTGAAAAAAAAAACTGAAGCGGCCACCTAAAGAAAAAAGTTGTACACCACTGGTTTAATTCAACGCTACTGTATCCTTTATACAAGTATATAGTTGAAATACAAAATCAGACTGTTCACGAAATAATGAAAAACCCTATTATTCATAACTCTCGAGAGCATGACCGGAGACACGTCATCAATGTTCTCAGCGCATAGCGCTCTACATGAAGGTTTGTCATTATAAATCACCATTAAGGAGTCATGCTGAAATCACCTATTTTCATTGAATTCGACATGCTAATAATACAAAAGGGTGGCAGTATATCTGCAAGTATCATCCCTTTCCCATTTTACTTCAAAATCATCACGGAACATTCCCACGGTGCTTTCGCGCAGACTCCCGTCTCGCAAAATGACTGCGAACATGTGTATTCTTGCATAGCTCAAAGGTTCGACGAAAACAGAACGCGATAAACTCTTCTTATTATCGCACGACTTTCGATGCTTAACTGGCTTACATGTTTGGAACCACCATTTATAGTGAAAATATATATCCACGTAATGAAGATAATTGTTGCCGCAGCGTTTTTGGGAACCATTTTTGATTATTGCAACTAAACTAAAGCTCCCAGGTAGACAGACATAAGTTATTTGATTTCCAACTAATTTTTGGAAACAAAACTAACAATTAACAAATAACGCGAAAAACGAGGCAATGTTTACAACCATGCTTAAATATCTGTCTGAGCGCCCCATTTAGTTGTTAATCGGCATGTGATTTGGCGTGTTCGTATAAAAGCCGAAAGGTGCGAGTTTTCAATAATAAGTCAGATTGGAATGTTAGAACGCGTAAGCACTGTTTATTCGTATCTGTTTTATTCCATCCAGGGTGACCATATTTTCAAACCCTAAAAGAACCCATATTGAACCCATATTTCACCTATACCTGACATATACATTATATATCTAACGAATTCTCTTCATTCTTCAAATGTCTTTATTAAAAAAATATATACAGAATACCATTATTTTTTGCAATAGCGAAAAACTGGATGCAGGAAATGTCTTTAAAATTGTAAACTAAAGTAAGTATACGGCGCGGCGGTATGGCTCATCGTGTTAAGCGTTAGGAATACGCACGCCACCGCACCTCTGACTACTTTTCATGGGTTCGCAAGTTCGAAACCCATGCGGGGATGATTATGTGCGAAAGGATTGTTGGACTCCTCACCGCCGTTGGGTGATTCACGTAACCGCTGGTCGGTTACGGCTTCCTCCACCACCAAGTTCCATGCTTCCGAAAACCAATAACTAACTTATCCCATACCCGACATGGAATGGTAACCGGACGAGAGGCCGTGGTTTGCCATATGGTTAAGCCGTCTTATCGGCTTTCCTTTCCCCCGGATAAATATGTAAATCCTATCCTATCAGCAACAGACTCAAATAGAAAGTTTTCGCGTTCTTCCCACCATTGTGGTTGCATTAAAGAGAAAGACATTGGCGATATGCGCGATAATGCTGAGAGAGAGAGAGAGAGAAGCTGTGAAAGCTGGCGCTGCAAGTTTTAAAATATTCTGTTTATCTCTCATGTGCCATGAATTTACAGTAGGAAACTGTACTAGATTGAAGGTGCTTCTGTACAAACATGTATTTATAAGTTCCGGAATTGGCCGAACAATATTTTTCTCCAGTAAATACTCAACGAACGTAGGGTTCTATAATTCCCCACTCGGTGATTTGGATTAGAGGCATCCAGTCAGAGCATTTCAATTCTCAAACGAGACTGTTCATTTTTCGAAGTATTCTACACTAGACGTACAAACTACAACAAGACCACACCGGACTGGAGCATATCACATTCATGACCATTGCTTTCGTCTCCAAGTCTAAGCAATTCAGATTTACTTTGGGTTTGTACATGTCTTTCTTTCTCCAATCGTAGATTTAACAGCATTAATACAGACTTTGATTTCATTAAAGGGAGCTTTTGAATGGTTAAATATGCTTAATTTGTTTATTAAACACAACAACAAACGATTGCAATGTTTTGCAATCACTCAATGCAACTCACTCACAGAATTTTCTAAAATATTTTTAGAGCAACAGGCTTTAAAATATACCGGAAATATGATTGCAAGGCACATATCAGATCATCAGAAGCATTCTAGATAAACTTGGATAGAGTGGTCACGCAATGGTAATCTGTGTCCACAAAGTTACAATATTGCGTCAGCTCTTCTGTGCGTATAGTGTATATGCAGAAATACTTGTACGTTTTGTAAATAATATTTTCCACACCAATGCTCATCTGATTGGTTCCATGACGTAAACGGTTATTCAGAACATGTGCAAGGCAGCCTACCCCAAACGAATCTGGCAGGTCGTTTTGCAATCGAGGAAATATGTTATTTCTCATTTTACGAGCCAATCCACCAATGTTAGTATTACAGTTCTTACTTCTCTTGTAATAACAGCTGATTTTTATGCTTGGAACTCGCAACGTAAGCTTGTAAGCTAAGCTTGCCTACTCCACACAAACGGAAGCACTCCACTTCTTTGTCAGTTCGACCTTTTCTAAAGCATGGATACTATTGTTTAGTTACTGGGTAAAAGGTTTTTCTTTTCAGCATAATTTACTAAGGTCTACTGACGTAATTTTCTGCCAAAATCGAAACTTCACTAAATTAAGAAATACAGGGTGAAATGACGCACCGTGTTTCCCCGAAAATAAGACCTACCCTGAAAATAGGACCTAACCTGAATTTTAAAAATGATTTTAATATAAGAACTCTCCCTAAAATAAGACCTAGTCAATAGCGCGAATTTTTTTTTCGACCTCGACGAGGGCAAGAAATATCTCCTACACCTACCCATTTGAAATGATTAATTTAAAACGTGCGGAAAGGGGTGGAAAACGTTGTTTATAAGTTAATGGATATAGGTTTTCACATTTTGTTTATTTTAAAATCTCTTCATTTTCTACCTTGTAATTTTGTTTTCGGTAAATGAGAATATAAGACATTCCCCGAAACCAGAGCGAAACTAAGCCTCAGTGCTATTTTTCGGAAAAAATTTAAAATAAGACCCAGTCTTATATTCGGATAAACACGGAAACAAGTATGCATTTGACTTGGAGCAGTGGTTCCCATAATGGGGATAATTACCCTCAAAAGGGTAATTTGACAATTTTCAGGGGGTAATCCAGTCGTTTACTGTCTTAACAGTTGATTTGGAATTACCATTCTTATCGCTGGTCTGTGAAAAAATGGTCGTACAGTGTTCGCATCCAGTCAAAGAGCAGTGTTATGTCACAATGTGATCAGTAGTGCATACATAATAACAATGCAGTCAGATTTAATGGATGTTTCCCCGAGCATCGATTTTGGTTTAGTTACAGTAATCAAAAATTGATACCACATAGGCTGTGATAAACCCGCCTAAAATTAGCTATAGGTACCTATGAGCGACACGTCGTTCATGGTTTTGAAATAGAATGATAGTTTCGAACATGTGAGCTAGTTTGTTAGCGCCAACTACCCAAAACACTCTCAAAATAAGCGTTTGAAATTTTGCAATGAGAAAGTATAGGGATAATCTTCCAGTGGTCAAGGGTCGGGGAAACTTCTCTGAGATTCAAATCTTAAAATCGACTTTGCAAACACAGCAATTGCAATGTATTGCAAAATTTTGGGTATGTTTAAAACTCTACGTACTACAAGGACGCTCCAAAATGTTCTCCTATTTCGCGGGATTAAACATTTAAAGATCTGTTATGATATATCGTAATCAACAGTTTTTGATGTGCTAAGAATATTTTAGAAGAAATATCTTTTGTATTATGGCAATTTTGTTTGTCCCAGCCTTGCCAAAATTTTCTGAATACGGTATCTCTCTGTCAATCAATAAATTCTCTCTTACTCTCTCTGTTATCATTGAGTTCCAATGAAAAACCGTTCCCGCAAACAGTTTTCGCGCAAATTATACCAAAGCAAAGTCCAGTCCAGTAAGGCAGGAATTATTATTAGCAGACGGAAGTTTCGTGAGACATACAGACGTTTGGCAGTCCAAACAGTCTGATTTAGAATCCTGTTTCTGACAGACTGTTGTGCAATAGTGAGGTGGTTCATGTTATCAGTAGTTGTTAAGTCCTTGCATCTAAAAAAATACCTGCAGAACTCAGTAAATTGGGTAACTATTTCTATAACTACTGATGACTGGAACTATCGTCCCACAGATTGACAGACAGATGTTTCTGGCTGGACCCAGAAGGTTCAGACCATACATGTTCGAGTAAGGCGATGTTTATCAACAATGCTATGTGATTGGAGACCTGGCTAATTCCTTCTATTATAACTGTTTTGTTTATGAAAGTGAAGTATTTTTTATTCTATCTAGGCTATCATTACAGCATTATGATTAACTTAAGGTACCGTATTTCGATATTACAATTCCAGAATTCAGCAATTACAGAATTACCAAAACTGAAGGTGAAGTTCAAAGTTCCAATGTAAATAAAATAACACAATACTTGATTTCAACATAAATACTGAAATATGGTGGGTATAAAATCTTGGGTCTAGTGTAGTTTTGTACCTCAAGTACTTCCAGCTGTCTAGCGGGCGTATCATAACAATTTTTGCTCATGTCAATCCTAACCCCCAACTGACTGCGTCGTCCAAAAATTACGTCACTACGATGTCACAATGATGTAATACTGTAATAGAGCTCTTCAAACAATACGAATTGTCATCCAAAACACATACGATCACTCCAAATATACCCCATTCCATTTGGTGGTTTTTTATTTGACGAGAATGCAGTAATGTCTAAATTTGACAATCCCAATCTTTTTACTTATTGTTTTCTTATTACTGTATTATTGGCAATGTTGTTTTGGCATACGGTATCTGAATATTTACACTTACATTATTAGGTGGTTAATAATTTTACCTTATTCAACTAGTCTGAAATCTAAGAACATGGAGCGATGACCAAATACCGTAGTCCTGTATATTATATCTTGGAATTATTACAATGGGTTCAGATGTTGTGAAAGTACTAAGGCAAGGAGTATGGGGATCTTTATCTGGAGGATGGTATTACGATCCGAGACATAGCAAATTTGCTAATGTTTTCCATCTATATGCGTGGTTGATATTATTGTGTCTTCCCTTCGTTTTTTACTTGGTTCCGGTAAGTCGATAGCCTATTCTGTAATTAAATTTTTGATGTATTCTGAAATGAGCAGTAGATTGAACGGAATTTTATATATAGCTTGAATGAGAAATCTGATAGGTGATTACCACAAAACCATGATTATACAAAATTGATTATTCTAATTGAAAGGCTGGGGAAGAATGTATATGCTTGAAATGCAACAAAATTAGAATAGATTAACAAATTAGGCGACTACAATAGCTGGACTAGCCTATTCAATATTCTGATATGAAAAAAATTAGTATCCAGGCAAAAATTATATTTTTGGTAAAAATTGGTATCGTTTGTTTTGGGTATTCCCTAACAATACTGAGTTATTGTCAAGAAAATGAATAGCTGAATAGATTCCATATCACTATGCCATAGATGGTAAAAAAGGGAAGAGAGTTGTTTCTTTATTAATGATAATGGAAACGCATCTAGTTTGTTTGTTTAAGATATGTGATTTGTAACAAACTCATTAGATGTCGAAAAATTCCTTCAATTTTTTCTTGCTTCCCATTTTCTCCTCCTACTGTTATTTAAAATCATGAGTTTCGCGTCTTTATTTAATTGTAATCAATTTATATATTCTCAACAGACATTCCAAGAACCATGGGCAGTTATTGTAACATATGGTGTTACAATTTTTGCACTCTTTGCTGGGATAAAAATAACAAACTACAGACTCCACTCTATGTTTGACAAGGGGGATCCTGTCAATAAAAAAACTATTCCAGCAGATAATCAAAATATTGCTGTTGACCACCTGGTTTCTGAAGAGAATACAAGTCCAGTGGACTGGGATCAACCTACAGTTGCCGATGCTTTTCCAGTAGCTGGAAGCACAGAAGTTCTTGAACGACGGTTTGTGTATTTTTATTTTCTCCAGGCCAAGAACACTGGCCTCCGAACCTTTTTACCTCGGCGGATCGATAACCTCATAATATTGACCTTGCCTACAAATTTTTGATGTCTTACCGAAGCATGCAAAGTGACCAAACGTTTCCTTACTAGGCTCTGCGGAAGCCTTCGGCGCTTTTTGAATAATGTGCCGTTTTCAATAAAACAACGTACAATCATATAGCATTTTCTAATCCTATATAATATGGTCTGAGGAAGACAAAAATGGGACACTGCTTGACTTAAATTAGTCTTCGCTCGTATTTATTAAATAAGAATTCAAGTTTATTCACAAATTCAGCAGAATATAAATCACTTAACTCAGCAATGCAGCTTCGCCTTTTCTACTCGGTAAAGTAGTTGTGCCAGTAGATAAACAACAAAATTTCTTGCGAACTGGCAAAAAAATATTTGGGAACCACTGGTCTAGAAGATTATTGCAGGCTCACAGTGAAAATCTGTTTTTGTTAGAGATTAGTAAATATTTATTATTATGCTTGCCTTATTTTCTGAACAAGTAAGCTAGATCAAATTATTCCAATCAATTTTGTTTCAGGGAAGAGAATGAAAACATTGTTGAAGTACACAAGGTAAGATCACAGTTAATTTTCTTGATTTTATCTTTATCAGATGAAACCAATATAACAATGTTGAATTTATCTATTTAGGAAGATGATGATCCAAATTGCAAAGGTGATGGGCCAGAAAAACCTGTGACAAAAAGAGGTATGTTATTAAGTTTTAAAAAATCAATGTCACCGACAATAGTAGCCATATTTTGTCAAAATAAAAAAGTCAAGGGTTTGATCAAAATTCCCACTCCTGTGCTCACAGACTTCTGCTCTACGAACTGACTTAGCTGAATGAAGATAAATCTTGTTTTAAGCAACACCCAATTTCGACTGTGACTGTGATTTTGCATGAAACGCACATTTCAAACTCATTTACCTCATGCTTTTATCTTTTTTTTTTATTCATGTATTCTTTTTATGCCTATTAAGGAGTCAAAATAAACTTCCCTCAACTAATGTCTTTCTAATTGATTTTGATATGGAAGCAGGAAATTAATTTATTTATGAAAAAGCAGGAGAAACATTCTCGGGAAACTTGATTTACCTCCTTAGAGAATGCTTGAATCCTGGAATGCTGGAATGAATTCAATTTTACTAGATTTAAGTTTTTTCTTATTTTAGATTTGGAGGTTGATGTTCACGTGGATTTAACAAACGTGAAAATTCATCCCAAATCTGCTGCAAAAGAAACTCAAACTGGTCTTCGAAAAAAGAAGCGTCGAGATCGTCGAAGAGCAAGACCTCAAAAAAGTGTTGCATTTGTTGATGGATCTCTATCTAGAGAACGAAGACTTAATATTGGAAGATGCGCCAGTCTGTCTTCTGCTTCGAGTGATAGCGACAACACTGATGATGATGCTCCCTCTACAAACACTGATTCATCAGGAGATACTGATTCTGATGATGCGGAAAGTTCTGATCCAAATGGGGATTTTGAAAAAGGTTTGTGAATTACTGAGAAAGAATAATCAAACAAACAAAAAAGGAGGCTGCGATAAAATTTAAAGCTAGAGGAGCAATGACAAATCAAAATGGTTCATTCTGTAATGTAATGCTAATATGATATACATAAATATCTTAAGTTCTTATTTTCTTTATGGTATAACTTATAGATGGCCATGCTACTCGACATCGACAGAGAAGAACCAGAATGATCAAACGCCGAGCTGGTATTAGAGGTCACACCAAACATCCATGGTATAGTAAGTCTCGGCCGAAGACTGCTCTCGGAAATCATGAAGATGACAAAGATGAACTTGATTCCGATACCTCATCAGGTGAGTGCATTTTTTTCAAAACGAACTTCGCAAGCTTACTTTTCTACTCTTTTTATTTAATTGGATCAAATGCAGGAACAGAAATGATGGAGGAAGCCACCGTAATCAGTCAATGATAACATGAATCACCACTGTTGTGATGAATTCAGCCATTCTTGTACACCACAATCATCCCTCTAATGCAAAATAGTTATAACCCATAGATTTCTTAGTAATTTCTATGGAAATGAAGAAAATTTATTCAACATTTGTGTTTGTCTGTTTATATATGATTGTATCCAGAGGATCTAAAATGCACAAAAGTCGTATTTTTTCCAGAACACGTTCCAGGTGTTATGAGTTCTTTGTTTGGTCATCATCTACAATTTACCTGAGCTTTTACCTCTATTACATCTGACAATTTTTTATCTTCAAGAGTCTTTTTTTTAATTGAATACAAAATAATTAAATCATTCCGACTTTCAAAGCAGGATCATCTCAAAGTTCAATAAGCATGAGAAGAAAACATACATCAGGAGAACGTTCTAATGAATCATCACAACATAAGAAACTACCTTCAGATCGAGAAGCTCGAGAAAAGCCTGTCGATGTTGTTGAAGTTAGTATTACAGGAACTTTCATTTTGTTTATTTGTCACTCATGTATATGTTATTATTATACATCAGACTGAAAATAAAAGTCTCGATCAATCTATAACTGGAGTGCTAGTTATTTGTTAGATTTCTGATCTTATAGCCATAGAGTATGTATATATAAATGGGCGCTCCGGAAGTATTCGTACCAAGATATCGCACAACCTGAACAACCCCCAACCTAGTACACATACTATGTTCAGGTTGTGTGGCATCTTGGTATGAATACTTCAGGAGCACATATAAATGTTTACATTTTTTGGAATCTTTGGGATGGTTGTTACTTTGACATAGTCTCAATATTCATTAGATGAACGTTGAAAAAAGACTAGTTTGAAAACTAGAAGTTATGCCATAAAATAAGCATATCTTTCATGTATTAGTTTCATGTTTTCTTCCGATTTTATGAGTTGTAACTTTTAACAGATTCCTCAAGTTTTACTTGAAAACACATTGACACAAGAAAACAAGGATGAGTAAGTTGAACATTTTAAGTAGTTTTAAAAAAAAAATTGTTTGCTTTAACGTAATTTCAGTTGAGCGCTATCGATATTAAATTGACAAGTCGGAATTAAATTTCTTGCAGATGTATACATTTGTGTCATGGCTATTATATTTGTATTTGCATGATTTATAAATTTTGTTATTTATGTTATATTATCTGCTTATTGATAAAGTTAAATCTTATCAAGTATAATCTTACCATGCAGAAATCAGGAGAAAGATGCACCCACTTCTGATCAAGAGCTATTGGCAAGGGATCCTGTCTGGAGAGCAAGAAGGGTATGATATTCAGTTATTTTATTATTCATATTACTAGTGGAAGAATAGTATGAAATATAATAAATTATTTTTCATGTATTTCAATGAATATGTCTCGATTTAGCTTGGTCACCTTGTTCTGTGGCTTTATTATAGTGTTAAATTTACAGTATCATATATTCGTAATATGCTCGTTACTACATGGTTGTCATTGTAAGTTGGAGATTTTGTGATACATCTCGACTGGTATAGTATTTTTACCATCTAACAAGATGATTTTGAAACTCAGTAGCTTTCTACATTTAAGGGACAGCTATCCAAAGATTATTTGAAGTAATTGTGTGAAACCACATACTTGTCATAAACAGTGGCAAATTTTAAATAGGTTTTCGATTGGGATTTGTTGGTGTGTGCATGTTTGGAATCTTGCTCATGCCAGATTTTCATCTCAGATTCCATCATTAACTTTCTTTCATGTGAATTTATTAAATATTATTATTATTACTAAATAGGTTCCAATTTCAATCTGATCTAAGTATGTATGTTTATTTATTCAGTCTCAAAGATACAGTTCAGATCGAAGGTTACCATTTTTTCGGCGTCGTTCATACACTGTGAATTCCATAAGATCCAATCGAAGAGATGACAGGCGCCGACTTTCCACAGTTCCTCCATACAATGGTCGTCGTAGTTCCCCATCTAGACGTCCTGGTTCATCTCTTCAAAAGTTACTCAGTATGTGGTCTAGGGATCCTGTTCCTTCGTTAAGCCAAGGTGATGATGCACCTTCACCTGGACAAATATCCCCAGGACAAGTAATTGTGATTTCTATAATGTTTCTTTTTTCATTCTCCTATTTGTTTTGCCTAAGAACTGAAGATAGTTAAAAACTATTTGCAAGTTTGGCAATTTTTTTGGAGTTGAATCAAACATATTTATACTTTCATTGGATTTTTCATTTTATTGCCTTACAAACGAACATCTAGAATCCTGGTGATATTGAATTGTGGTATTTGTCAGAATTTGATAAAAGTTAACAGAAAAAAATTACTCGAAATGGTGTTGATTTAAAATGGACAACTTCAAATTTCAATCAATACGACTTCTTCATTCTGATCATTGATTTTTCGGTTTGTTAGATTTCTCCGACTCCATTATACATACTGTATATTGAGATCTCACTATGCAGTTTTTTGTAATTAACGTGATTGGAATATACTGTATAAACTGTGCTTTTTCTGGCATTATGAACATAATCAATATTGCAAACCAAATTTGTAGCTTTTCAATGGATGTACCATTGTCAGATAATTGTTTACTTCATCACTTTACTGAAACATTCTTGAAATTGTGCTTTTTTTTCCAGATACCAGTTGTATTGACAGGACATTCGGTGGACAATACTGTGTTTCTTGACACCAATAAACCATCTACTAGTGTTAGTTTTTTTCCACCAAACATTGAAGATTTACCGTCCGACACTACAAGTGGAAAACTAGATGTTTCGGAGACCAATATTCGTGGTAGAAACAGGTCCGAAAGTGGATCTCATAACTCAAATCCACATTGTAATGAAATGTCTGGGGCAAGCCCAAAAGCTGGTGGAGACTGTGATAAACCTACATCATCTAAAAGTAGTCAGGGAAAGGAACGTAAAACTCGGCCACGAAAACCAAAACGCAGTCACACTTCTTCAAATCCTCCTGGCCCTACAGGTGATGCAAGAGCGGATTTTGAAAGAATGGACGAACATTATCGTGCATTGTATGGCATGACTGCAAGACCTCCGTCTTCTGACCTTCTCGCTACATCTCACAGAAAATCTTGCCCTGAATCTAATGAAGATGATTCAGAAGATATGAATAAATTTGTTACAAATTTACTCGGTGCTCAGGCGAGTTGGCAAGGCGCACAGCAAGCAAGTAAGTGCTTATTCTTTATTGTTTGATATTATCTCTCAAACTTTAATTACTAAACCTACTCTTCTGTTTTTATCAGATACTTCTTCGATAGATCCTGAAACGGGTGCCAAAGAGATTCCATTTAAGAGGTTTGTATTTAATGTTTGTTTTCAGTTTCTAATGGCATTTTTATAGTCGTTGGTCTGTGACAAATTTTCGATGTAGTTTTTTCATGTACTCATATCTTCTGACAAAAATCTTCATGTGAATCCTGCAAAATAATTTTGTTTTTTCATTAGCAAAATACCTGTCACTTCACTTCATATCCAAAACAACAGAGATGTTTCAGCTATAGATGGACCAAGTTTGGACAAGGTGGGGTGACTTTTTTTAAGATAATTGAATGTACTTAGGTCCTATCTATCGTGTTTCCCCGGATTTCAATTTTCTTTTTAAAGATAACACTAGGCCTTATTTTGAGGGGATGTCTTTTATTTTCATTTATCAAAAACAAAATTACAAAGTTGAGAATTACGAGATTTTCAAATATACAAAATATGAAAACCAATATCCATTTAATTATAAATAACATGTTTTTGTTTAAAATAACTACAAAACATAGATTATTAATCATTTAAGATGTGTGGTAGAGATTCCTTGCTATCGACTAGGTTTAGGGGAAGGCTTGTAATAAAATCATTTTTGAAATTCAGGCTGGGTCTTATTCTTGGGGAAACACTGTAATAGCGTTGTATGGGGGATACACAGCCCTTGCTTTTCATGAGACATTACTGCTCATTCCTTGAGAGTATACGAAGCTGGGTGGTATAGAATATTTGTGGAGTATGTAATTTTGGAGTGGTTTCTGCCTGCTGTTATTCTAGCATCTACATGTATTGAATTCTTTATCAGAAAAAATTTGTTGGGAAATGGGAATTGTTTTTTTCAAAACCTTATCGCAAATAGTATCAAGGATGTTGGGTAATATCATGTAGAAGTGGCCTCATGTACAATTTTGGGTACTCCTGTAGTATGTGTAGGGTTAGGCCATAATTTTATTCCAATTTTTCTTATTTTAGTTCTATTACGAGTTCGGAGACTGTCTATGTTAGTCAAGTGAATATACCCCCTTCCCATAGGCTTCAGTCACTTTACACAACTTGATGTAAAGTAGGCGAACAAAATTAGTTACCTCCCATATTGGTACACAGTACACATACCTCTGGAGCGCCCTATATTGTTGTTTGGAAATTACTTTTAAACTCTTGTAAATCTTTTTACAATCATTTTCAGCCTTCAGCAAGTCTTCCTTCTACGTCATCTCATTCAAACAGAGCAAGACATTCATTGACAACTTTGTCTTTATCTACAAATGGTGAGTTGAAATCCATGTTGAAACTCACTAAATTTGGATAAATATGAGTCGAATTGACATTGGAAAATTCCATTTTGCATGAAACCAATGTTTTTTACGAAAATCAAGCTAGGATGTAGTTACATATTGACCAATGACAAAGTTCACTTTGGCATTAATACCACCTATTTCAAATTATTGTTGCAACTAGATAGGGATTAAATTATTTCAAGTGTCATCTTTGCAGTAAATCACATTTCACCAAAATCTAAAAAATTTTGACTCAAGTCCATGTTGTCTTAACTCAAGTCTCCCAACACTGAATGTGAAAAATTTGTAACTACGGTAGGTATCAAGCAGAGACACTGGTACTCTCGTAGTGTGTACCAGGTTATGGTTAGGCCCTAGTTTTCTCCCGATTTTCCATTTTAGTTCTATTACGAGTTCGCGGACTGTTTGTGTTAGCCTAGTGAATATTCCCTTGCTCATAGGTTTCAGACCCTTTACACAACTTGATGTGAAGTAAGCAAACAAAATTAATTACCTCCATATTGCCCTGATCTGAAAAAATGTTCCTTTTTATACCAGATGCTAGCGGACAACGGCATGCAAGAAATACAGCTCTGAGATTTAGTGTGCCACCAGGTAGAACTAGAAGCAACAGCGGTAGAAGAGTTCGTCATCCAGCTGGAAACAGTGGATCACATTCTCGCTTAACATCAAACACGAGTGAGGAAGGTGTTATGGCAACGTCGCAACAAATTTCTGCTAATAGTTTGTGAGTTCGACACTTGATTAGTACCAATTAAATGGATGAAGCTATAGGCATACAATTGTTTGGTCTCTTGGAATTTGTTAAACAAAATTGTAATTAATTGTGTTGAAAAGTATTTGTGATGAATTAAGATAATCCACTTTATTATTCCTTTATTATTATGTTTTGCATTTTGAGGAATTTATCATTTTCTCAGCACAAGTACTACTGAACTACTGGGGAACATACATGATGACATTCCACCAGAAGTTGTTGAAAAATTAGGTGAAACCGAAAATGATGCCAGTGCTCATATTGCTACAGAACATGATGACACAACTGCTGGTGCTACACATGCTTTTCAAGGTTTGAATTTGACTCGTAAATCAGGAACAATTTTTTTGTATGACCATCATTTTTTCGTTGAAAAAAGCTCTGTTAAATTGAAAAAGTCCTTGATTTGAACCTGCGATGCCACCATAGTTAAGTCAAACGCTTTACCCAACTAGGCCGAATGCTGCTAATGTTTATCATTTTTCAATGCTTTGAAATGAACATATCATTGAAGTCTGGTCCATTTTATGTATGGTTATATAAATAATATCTCTTGCAAACTGTAAACCGTGTGATTAATATTAGGTTAGGTTACCCATTTTACTGGACAGTTAGGAGTAGCAATATCTGGTTTCAATCGCTGTTTGAATGGTCTTCTTTGTAGAGGGTCTATCAGAATGCCATATAGATAACAGGTTTGATTCTTAAGACATCTACACAAGATGTGTACTGCAAGTCAAATTGAAACATTTCATGTAAATGCTTTTCTTCCAAATGACTCCACTAGCCCTAATAATGAAAATGGTAATTATGCTAAGATCTGTATTAAGAATCTGTATTTGTTCCACAGATGAGTATGGTAATTGGTTAACATATACATTTGGAGAATCCAGTGGAACAGCTCATATGTTGTCAGCTGCATCAACAAGAAGGACAAGCAGATCAAGAAATAGATTGATAACTCGTTATTCACTGTAAGTTCATTCAATGAGAAGTTATGCTTTATTCACACTGTAAAATTAAATCTTTTCTGATTAAAATTTGACGGATGCTGAATTACGATCACTCCTCTTTTATTCAGGCAAAGTGGCGACACTTCTGATGAGGCAAAAAGTCCTCCCACATCCAGAAGAGAACATCGGAATAGTGGTAACAGTGGTAGAAGAATTACATTCCCAAGTATTACCAGGAGATTAAAGTAAGTTCTGATTTCTCTACTATTCTTTTAAGTCTCTACCAAACTTTATGTACTCGGGGGCTAAATATACACATTTCCAGTTGAATGCGGCCACATTAAACTTCAAATGATGGCACACTTGCAGTGTCGAAAGCCTGCCACAACGGGACATGTATATGGCCACTCTTAATATATTATCAATACATTGTTTTCATTTACTTATTATCAATTTGAAGAATGATGTTGTTTTTGTGTCATGGCTCAAGCCTTAAAATTAAATGACAACTTCATTGTCCCGCTGTAAATCGTCCAAATGCCAATCTGACAAGCGAGTACGAAATTTATTCTAAGTGTAATGCATTTTAGATAACGCTGCTCACAGCTACAGCCCACAGGCCGCAGTTTGCCAACCCCTGCTTTAAGTGAATCAAACCTGTATTTTATTTGAGAAGATTTGATTGCTTGCCCCTTACCAGTAGTGTGATAGCAGTAGCATGATCTCATCTCTTATCTAGCTCAAGGACAGGAAGAAATGAATTGTCCAATTTCTTGGAAGAATCGGATTTGAGTGGAAGCTTTACACAAGCTGAATCTCCTGAGATATCTCCCTTGGACTTTATTGTGAGTTTTTATTACTTTTTGTTTATTTTATAAGCAGAAATAGCCTTTTTCTGCTTAGATTCATAGGAGGGAAGTTACTTCATTTTAGGACTTGTGTTGTGCAATCACAAATGTCGTCCAAATTTTGTCAAATTTATTTAACTTATGAAAAAATCATGATTAATATTAAAAGTTTTTGAATGTTAAATTTGGCATAACCATGGCGTTAACATGCAGCAGAATGAGCACTCCATTTCTTGCAATATTTTCAATTGAAAATTGTTTCGAAAATGTCATTATTTGCCATATCGGCTTGACGCTAACTATATCATGATTTGTTGTGAAATTCTAAACTATTAAATTGATTAAATATGGAAAATTTCGGTGAGCAAAGCTCGTCACAAGCATATGCCAAGATATCATTCTGTTCTCTGCTGTCAAGATTTCAAGGAATTGGGAATTTTTTTATTATTATTTATTATATATTTATTTATATTTTTCTTTATCAGCTCAACAGTGCAATGATTCCTCCTCGTCGTCCAATAACGCCAAAAGTGAAACTTTACTACAAATTTAATTTTCTTCCCTGTAAATCTATAATTCTTCAATATGATAGACTTGCTCTTCATGATTTATTGGACAGGTACATCTTGTTAATTCTTATTTATAAATGGGTAGTTATTATGATTATATAAAATAACAATCCAAATAGGTATCTTTGGTATTTTTCATATTGTGTTTGCTTGGTGATACATAGGTTACATAGCAGTTGTCTCGAATTCACATTATTCAAAATGTTATATAGTCTGATATATGAAGGCAAAAAATAATCTGAATTTATAAGGTTGAATGAAGAGAGTATAAGATTTTGGCACTAAATGAAATTTGTTTATTCATGTTATGCCTAACTCTCTCCTTTATTATGAAAGTTGGAATGGTTATTTTGGTTCATGGTAGGGTTGTTCACGTAGCAACTGCTTGTCGGTTACAGCTTCACCCACCTTCAAGTCCATGTTTCCGAAACAAATAACTGGCTAACTAATCCCATACCGACATGGACTAGTTCGTCATTTGATTAAGTCGTCTTAACACTTTTCCTCTCCTCCGGGATAAATATATAAATCATATCCTAAAGGTTTTATCTCATTCTAATTGTCTTTGCTAGGAACCGTCATCTGTTTGAAAATATCTTCTCTGTTCTTCTCGCTATTATTGTTGCCATACTTGGATTTATTCTTTTGCAAAGAGGTTTCTTTTTTGATTTCTGGCTATTGTGGTTTTGTGCTGTCATAGCAACTGCTCAGTATTCTCTCATCAGGAGTGTTCAACCTGATTCTGCGTCACCTACTCACGTAAGTAAATTTTGAGGAGGTTGGTGGCATTCATGATAGGTGTTTTGTATGGCAATGTCAGGTTTTGAATTATGTCATAACGTGCTTGTATATTTTTACTCTTACTTCTCAAAGTACCAAATACACTTGTGTGGTATAATGATACTAAAAATAGACTTATTATTAAGGCATATAAATGTTTCTCTTTCTTGTCCTTCTGAAGAATGTGAGCTAATTTTTCACAGCGATGCTTATATAAATTTTAAAGATTGAAAATAAAAAAAATTTTGATATCAGAAGTGTTTTTGTTATGAGACATTTTTTTTATTTGATCTGAATAAAACTGTCGAGTCTTGATCTATTTATTTTGGTGTCCAGTTTTTTTGAACAATTTTTTGCGCCCTGCTCTAGGTGATGTGTTTATGATAAACAATAGGAAGACTATATTACAGTATTGTAATGCCAATAAGAATTCAAGTTATCACATTCACAATATTTATTTTTTTAACTGTTTATTTTCAGGGACATAATCGGACAATCGCATACAGTCGTCCAATCTATTTCTGTATTCTGGCTCTTCTTATTTTATTGTTTGATTATTTGGTGACGAATCCAGCTTATCAACCAGACACATATCTGTATGCAAACATGAGATTTACGAAAGAAAGCTGTATTCTTGCAAGAAGTATTTTAATTTGTAAGGGCATTGATTTTTTTTATATAATGAAGTAGACCTTTTGCTAAATTATTGTTCATCTTGTTGTTGATAAATATCGCTTTTTTTCGCAATAAGTGGACTGGAACGATTTTATATTTTAGTACTTCAAAATTCCAAAAAGTTGCCAGGAGGCTATATGTTTCATTTATTTTTAGGACTACGGTGGTCGGATTTCAACTATTTTGCTATTTATTTAACTATGTTTAATTAATGGGAGCACTGTTCTGACATTTAACCGTTGTGGCATAATGTCAAGCTAATCCGCCACCTTCTCAAAATCCTGGTTCTCAGTTAACACCTTACTTGTCCAAATTTGAATATCTGTAGTGATCGGACTAAATATGCAATTTTGATTGAAGCTTTCGAATTACCATATAGCATAGGTTATTGCTGGACTCTGTTAGTCATTAGACTTCCGTTTATATTTAAACGTTCTCTCTTGTTTTCTAACGTTTTGTTTACCACCAAGTTAATTTTTTTTCCACTTTTTCTTTTTTCAGTTTTGATAATGACCTTGCCTTTCATTTCTCTTTTGGGTTTATTACCTCAAATGAATACATTTATAATGTATCTTGCGGAACAAATTGATATTCATATGTTTGGTGGTACAGGTGAGTTTGCTAATCTTATTACTTATACAGTGATTATTTCAGCAGAATTACTATGGCAGTTTTTTTTCTTGAACTTTTCCTGTGTGTTTACAAATTAATGTTTTCCCAACATATATATTCATATTGCAAAATATTTATTTTGAGTGTTTCAGAGCAGGGGTGTGCAACCTTCGAGACAGGAGGGTCAGATAGAAATAACTGGGTGAAACCGGGGGCCGCACCTCAGCATAGGCTATCTAGTAGTTGCAGACACGAAAATTTTGGTTATTGATCTTGAAACATGCGTCGTTTGCACAAGCGAGCTGTTAAAGCATTGTAAAGTCATAGTCCTAGATAATAAATTGAACTCGGGTGTAGGCTTCGCAACACAAAGGGATTTGGATTACTTGCACATACCAAATCGAATTAAAAACTTGTTTCGCGGACTGCACATCATTCAAAATTGTCACTTCTCCGCAGTCTGCAGGTTGCTCACCTCTGTTTTAGAGAGTTTAGAGTAAATATGTGTGAATTTAAATCTTTTTCATTTATCAGAGTCAGTTTTTTTTAATCTCATATTTTTCGTTGTTTTTTCAGCATGTACTGGATTGCTGACTGCATTGTACAGTCTGTTACGAAGTTTTATAGCTTGTTGTTTATTATTTGGGTTTTGTTATGGAGGAATGAAAACTGAGGTAAGACAGGTCAAATATTTGATAATATTTCTCAGACTTGGGGGAGAGCTGAAAAGATTGCCAGGCCATGTTCAAAACCACTGATACTGGTCATATTATGAGTATGTGACATAACTAACCAATGTAATGGATAGGCTTGTTTATTTGACGTATCACTGGCACTTATTTATAAAAGGTAAGCTTAGTCAAAATTGCAAATAAATGGTCATTGTCATCTTCTAAGCCCTTCTGATTGTAACCCCACTGGCTGGGTCTCTGCACTAGGCCATCACGGTGTTAAAAAAGTAACGAAAAATTAACAGAAGGTAAAATGAAATGCTACTTAAAACATCCTGTATATAAGTAAAATCATTTAATGTACTATTTATTTTTACAGGAAAAAAGTCAACATATTTTGTTTTCTGTGTTTTGTGGGTTGTTGATTTCATTCTCTTATCATTTGAGTCGTCAAACAAATAACCCTTTGCATTTATGGTAAGTTTATATTTTTGAAAATGAAAATTCATGATTTTGTGGGTATTGAACCTGGACTCGTAATTTTACATTTGTCTGAGTCGAAATTATTCCTTTTCGATTATTCAGTCAGAACTATAGACTTCTTGGAATTGTTTCTTGTTTAAATAGTTCATATGTGCAAATATTTTGATATGTAATTCCAGATCTATTTTAAAAATTATAGGATATCAATTTTAAAGCAGTGGTTCTCAAACGGTGGGGCGCACCCCACAAGGGTGGCATAGACAACTTTTTGAGGGGGCGTGAAGCTATTTAAAAATAAAAATATTTGTTAGATTTATTCTTGCCCGCCCTATTTATTTCATTATTTACGTTTCATCCATGTATTCTCATCGCGTTTTTTGAATAAAACGTACTTATGCCTTACTATCTGTTATTTGTAGCGTGAGGCGCGAGACTCAACTGATTGAAAAAGGCGGCGTAGCTTAAAAAGTTTGAGAACCACTGTTTTAAAGTTTTCAATAGGTGATTGATGTGGATAGGATAAGCGATTAGAAAGGTCCAAAATTGAGGAAAAAGGCAGATGTACTTGGCTCAGCTATTCATTGAAGTTTTTATTATTTAGCTGTTAAAAATATGTCAATTTCAACTGTATATTCATTCGTTCGAATTTATACAGGAAAATTATCAAATCCAAGTTCTTGTCAAAAGAAGATGATGCAAACAAATCAAATGCTGCTGCAGAAAGTGCAGATAAAAAAGACATAATGGAAAATCCCGATGAAATTAGTTCAATATATGTTCAAACTGCATTGGTGAATATTTTTTGTTTTTGCATGAATCTGTAAAAAAACTGAATGACCTCCAGCGGAAATCCCAAATTTTCGAAATTCATGGCAAATGGGCCAAATAGCATTAGAAAGAAAATTTGACATTATTAACATTACAATGACTTAATTGAAATAAATTAATGAAAAATTTTATAAGATGTGTACCTTCATTCAATATGATACATGCCATTGTTTTTTTGCGCATTAATGTTCAATATGCGGTTGAATGTCCAATATTGTCAGTAACACTTCTCCCACGTTTTGCACCCACGCTCAGAATTATCACTAGTTTTTTATACTTTTGATTGTTTTGAAACCCATTCAAAACTTTTTCATAAAATTTTTATATTTTCAGTGTGAACGTCTTCAGTCAGACCTGTTTGTCTGTCCATTAATTGCAATATTTTTGTTTGCAATACATTGCAGTACAGCGTTTACTGAATTACAGGTGACAAAATGACTTATTTTTCGTTATGGTTATTTATGCATCTCTTTTGATTTTTTTGTCTATGGATATTTCTATTTTCCAAAATATTGTTACACCAATCTTCAATCCAAATGTTTTTCAAAAGCTTATGTTATATAAACACACTGGACATCTTTCAATTTGAAAACAAAGTCAAATAGCTGTGAGATATATAGATAGATATGAATTGGAATGAGTTGGACCCAATTGAATATTGAATTTTTATGAATACTTTGGTCAGACTGGTTCTTAACCATGTTGAACTTCATTGTGTTATTACTATATTCGAGCTTTGTTCAATTATATATCGTTTTAAATTTAAAACTATCATTAGAGTATTGCCAAGTTGAATTATGTGGTTTCAATCTAGGAATTGGTGATTTTTTTTCTTTTTCAGCCCTCATTGAGTCTTGTTTTGTATATAATTGCCGGTGTTTTGGGATTATTTGTTCATTATATTCTACCTCAATTACGCAAACAACTGCCATGGCTGCTGTTTTCCTGTCCAATATTGAAGGCAAAAGAATATGGTTTATTTGAGGTCGGTAAAATTTTTGTTGATGAATCAACCATTTTTTTTATATTAAGGCTTCTGAGCTGTGGAGTCCAGATCTTGTTGTTTTTTGTACCATCATGAAATTCCCAACAGATCTGTGGAGTCGGACTCATACTTCCAAACTGGTCGAAAAACTGTTCATTTTGAATTCTCTGGAGTTGTGAATTTCAGACTTGAGCTTTCTAATTAACATAAAAAAGCACTAAGTTGATTGAGAATTACTAATTGAAGGACTTGCGTATTGCATATGCCAAAGTTTTGGTATCAGAATGGAACTATACTCAATTTTTTTTGTTAACTTCGAGTCGGGGGCCAGAGTAGTTTTTTGAATGGCTTGAAGTGTGTTGAAAATATTAATACTGGTCAACCCTAGTTATCCGATCCCTAGGCTGAAATTTGATTTTTGATTCACCAACTGAGTGTTGGGATTCATTGAGAATGTAAAGAAACTTTTATTTAGTCAGGAGCTTGAATATTTGAAAAGCAGAGGAAATTTTACAGAATGATCTGATTCTAATTTTCTCCTTGATTCAAGAGCAACTTGGCAAAATATTTCAGTCGCTGTTGTATAGATGAAATCTTTAACTCTTCAAGAAGTTGTGTCTGAAAGTATTTTTTATTTTGTCAGGTTCAAGAAGAAGCGCAAGTGATGGGGTTTGAAAAAGTTTACGTTGTTTCATGTTTCATTGAAAGAAACATTATATACCCGCTTGTTATTATGAATGAATTAACACGAGATGCTCCGTCTGTTATAAAGTTATATGGTCTGGTGTAAGTACTACTTTTACATGTCTTCTCTAAAACCGTTTTGAAATGAGAGGTGTTGGTAAAATATGAATTTAAGATCGAAACGAACTCTTCATTTCACTTCATCAGTCCTCATACTATTTTGATCTTTACCCCCGCTCAATGTCTTTTATTTGTTTCTTATCTCAGATGCTTACTGTTATTTCAATATTGTGTTCCTCACTTTTGATAATAGCTGAACTAAAATATCAAAAGTTTTTTACTGGATTGAGACTGCCCTATTCCATACCAAAACAGCACATATGAGTAGAATTTAATCTTTCAGTTTCCATACATTGCAGACTCGGGTGCATTTTACTGACGGTCATCGGCCTTAAACTTCTTCGAAGTTCATATAATGTCACATTACTTCAGTATGCTGCGCTCACGTTTTCTGTTCTTTTTACCGAATATGATGCCAGAAAACTACAAGATTCAACATTAGTGACATATTTTCTAGTCAGCATATTTATAGTAAAGGTCAGTAAAAAATTTTTGAATCTTGTCCATCTGAAATTAGAATTGTATTCATCCCTTATTAAATGCCAACTTTTTATGCTCTTTCTGGTCTTTGTGCTATAGATATAACGCTTTGAATGTGCAAATAAAAATTGCCGGAAATTGCAAGTTTATTATAGCATTGCTTTTAAATGTTTAATACCAATTTCGATTTATTACCAATTGTGCGTCTCCAATTTTTAGCCTTAACATTTTAAAATCACTTTATACATATAGTTTTTCTTTTTTTTAAAATACTTTTGTTTGGCCACTCTACACATTTTAGTTAACATAAATAGATAGAACCAGATAAGAAAAAATATAAATATAACCGTGATAGAAATTTTCATACCAGTTTGTATCCTAGAATTTTGTATTTTTTAAATGATTACTTGAATTGAAATTTGCGACAATGTCACATTGTATAACAAATTTTTTTTAAAATTTGTTAATGTTTCAATTGAAGTGAATTGTTGTATATTATGTATAATATAATATCCAAGAATTTTAATAATGTCTTAAATAAGTAATGTTAAACCACTAGAAAGCCCGCATTCTGCACTTCAGTCATTTAAAGTATTTTTTTCTGTAACGCTTAAATTAGTTTAGTAAAGACAATAAGAAAATTGTTAAACAGTGAATTCTATTTTACAGTTGCAAGACATGCTTTTGAAACTACAATTTATTTACGTGTATATTGCTCCATGGCAAATCACATGGGGTTCAGCATTTCATGCATTTGCGCAGCCATTCTCAGTGCCACACAGTGGTATGTTGCTACTTCATACTCTTGTATCATCTATACTACATGCTCCTCTTGCACCATTTCTTGGGAGCGCAGTATTTTTGACTTCTTACGTGAGGCCGCTGAAATTTTGGGAAAGAAATTATAAGTAAGAATAACTTTGTTTTTTCCTCCTTTTTTTTTTGCAATGTTTTTCTAGAAAACATGAAATACAATGTCATGTTTTGCTTAATGTCTGTCATTTTAATTTATAGTTGTGCCTAGGCTTGCACGTAATTTACGGAATCAAGGAATTTATTTTCAGTAACGCCGGCAAATTCGTTATTTTCATAATTATGGAATTGATTTTGGTTAGTTACGTGCAAGCCTAGTTGAGTCTAAAAGAATTCAGTTCCTTTTTGGAATTATTGAAAAGTGCGCAATATAGTTAAATTTCACAATAATATGGAGTAGTATATAAGCATTGCTGGGGAACCGTGGGTCAGTGACTTGACTACTCTTCGACTAATCCTTATTTCTTTTCATATTATTAAATTTCAGTACTAAGAGAGTGGATCATTCTAACACGAGATTAGCAGCTCAGATAGACAGGGGACCATCATCAGATGATAATAACCTCAATTCAATATTTTATGAACATTTGACTCTTTCGTTACAAAAAAGCTTGTGTGGTGATATAGCAATGGGAAGGTAATTTATATCCAGTTTTTGATGTTGACATCAGGACTATGAGTATTTAACATGTTTTGGCCAGTGTTGGAGGGTAAGCTGGTGTCTCACTTTCAAACTCCTCGAAAGCCGGAGTCAAAAATTTCTATTTTCGATGGTGATATGAAGTGCTCAGATAATTAATCACAATAACAGTTTCTACATCAAGTTTATCATTTTTTTCTCACATTTTCATCTGACAGACAAATTAAAGTTCTGAAGATAATTTGATCATTATATCATAATGCAGTGTCTTTGATTTTGTAATGATCCGGTTTATATTTTTCTAGATGGGGCAACGTCTATCCTGGTGATTGTTTCATTATGGCATCGGATTATTTGAATGCACTTGTTCATATTATACAGAGAGGAAATGGTGTTATCACGTTTCAATTACGTGGATTGGAATTCAGTGGTAAGGACATGTTGTTTTACGGATAGAAATGGACATATAGCCAGGGATTCTGTATGCCTTCGATTTTTAGGACTTGTGTCTTACAGTTACGTTATCAGTTTTTTTGTACTTATTTTGTCCTTATCATCAATGAGATAGATGTAATGTAAATTTAAATGTTAGAAAAAGTGTTGTTGATAATTTTTCAATCAAATAGTGTATTTGTGAGGGTTTTCGTTTGGATATCAGATGTTGTTAATGTTTGTTCATTTCTGTGCCTATGCTAAGAAATATTTTTACAGGAAGTGCATTTTTTTCTTCAGTTAACTTTGATTAGTTACATATCCTGCTGGATTTTAGTTTCAATGAAATGCTTTGAACTGTTTTAAACGATGAAAAATGATTGCAGCAAATCGTTGGTTAGGATGAGTATACTTGGGTCAACATCCTTCTTTTGTGTCAATGGAAGCCATGCATATAACACTACATATATCTTGCTATTCCCATTATCCTGTTTTTTGAACTTCTGTTTTATTGATTATTTTTTATTTGTGAGATGTCTTTCATCAGGTACATATTGCCAACAAAGAGAGGTTGAAGCAATTTCTGAAGGTGTTGATGATAATTCTGGATTATGTTGTTGTAGACCCGGTCATGCTAAAAATATGCTTTCTTTCAATGCTGCTTTCAGTCAGAGGTGGCTGGCTTGGCAGGTATTTAGACAGTTATTGTGGTTATGATCAGAACTTTGGCGTTGGAAGTTGGCGTGCTTATATTCATATTGCAGAGAGACCCAATGTTGCCATGTTAAACTTTTTGAAGTCTAAAATTTTAAATTCTTCGGAGTCCCGAATAGGAGTTGAAATTTGATACATTTAACTGATTTAATTTGATACATTTCAACAAAACTATTTTTCTGTTTTTTTATTTATTTCTAACTATTATTCCAGGTTCAGACTACAAAATTTATTCTGGATGGTTATAGTATAACAGACAACAGTGCAACAAGTATGTTGGGAGTTTATGATTTGAGAAAAATACTCCTGTCTTCAATGGTCAAGGTTAGTTATAGGACTCATAGGCACTTGAAATCTGAAAAAGTATGTCTATTTGTAGTAATATTTGAGAAGGTTTCAATATGAGATTTTAGATTAACTCCAATTCTATATTGATTCAAAATTTCTAAATATGGTTTTTTTGTAGAAGACTTATCTGTATATTTTGGTTTGAGTGATCTCTTGTTGTTGTTAGTGAACGTAGTTATTGTTATTATTGTTGCTGTCTGGTTATTGTGTTTGAGAAAAAATCAATTTTTTTGGCAACTAATTGACGAATTGATTTCAGTTTTTCGAATCTTGGAGATGAATGAAGGCTATTAGTTTTATTAAAAAAAAATTCGAGTTCTGCGAGACTCAATATTTCACCAAAAAATGCTGCTGCTTTGTTTTAATTGAAATGGAAACACTTTTTGTCCTGTTACGCTTATACGTCAATCTTTTCAGGGAATTTCGATTCGTGACCTTGGTGTCCATATATTTGAGATTGCTCTCTTGTTTTTCTTGTATTTGACAATAATTTTGTATCTTTTAACATGTTTAATTCTATTTCCTATTCCAGGGCGTTGTCTATTTTCTGATATCTCACAAATCACTGGAAAAATGGTTGAACGATGAAGCGATACTCGATGCAATAAAATTATACGAAGTTCCAGATTACGTTGATATTGACCCAAGTTTTTCTGTTACGATTCATGATGATTACGACATGTGGTTGTCTGGAATATCCCGAACTAAGTTTCAAGCAGTTTATGGAGAATGGATTAAATATTGTGCATCCAAGTGTGAAAAGGTAGGATAGCATTTCTTATCACAGGGAAGAGGGAAGACTACAAGATGACTTAATCTGGACTTTGTTCAGTTACCAGTCCATGTTTTTGAGTGGGAAGTTACGTGTTTCAGATGTATAGACTTGATGGCGGACAAAGTTGTAACCGACCAGCAGTTAACGTGAACCACCCTATGATGGTGATGAGTCCAGTAATTCACTTAGTTATCCTTCATGGTATCGAACCTGTGAACCATCGAAGGGGGATCGGAGGTGCGGCAAGTGCATTCCTAAAGATTGACACCTCCGAGACTTAATTCTACTGTCTTTATTTGATAATCTATAAGAAAATGTGAATTTGTCACATATTTGTAAAGTATGGTCCTTAGTCTTCAAAGCCATGAGAGACAATGAGGTATTTTTCAGTTTTGAGCATAGCCTTCTCAATGGAATGAGATTTTTATTGTCTGAGATTTTTATTGACTATTTTCTTAATATTATCATTTCAATTACAGCCCGTTGAGGCAGATGCTGAATCAAAACTTGTTACATTATGTTTCATGATTTCTGTTTTGAGTCGACGTGCACTTGGCACTGCATCAAGTCATCTAACGGCGAGGTATGTTATTACACAAGTTTCTCACGTGTATAGATTTTATTGAACACGAGGTGGTCCTCATTTTGATGATTGTTATTAGGGATGTTTGCGATGGGGAAACAGTCGACTACTGGATCAATCAATTTCAAATCAGTACTCAGTACTCAGAGGGTGGAAGAATTAGTTCGGAGGCTGTTGATTTTTCTCTTCCAAATTTGGAACTGGAATTATTCCAAACAAAAATAAATTGTTTATGAGTTCATGGGAACATTTTTATATATGACCTCTGACCTTTACATCCACATATTTAAGCATTAACCTCTTTTTTATTAAAACTTTGATTAGATACATAACTATCAAAATGTTTGGAATGAACTATTTATTTAATTCATATCATGAGATTTAATATAAAAATTTTTTAACATAAAATAATAACTTGTGCTATCGATTGAGTTTCTGTGAGACTAGCTGCTTCTTCGTCTTCTATGCTTTTGTACCCGTGGATCGGTAGGCACATAATGCAAGGATGCTGTAGCAAGAGTAGAGATACCTATCCTAAGTGATTCAAAAGTCCTGCTGCACACTAGGGATGCGACGAATCCAAAAATGTTCGGCTCGGCCGAATCCCGAGTATTTGCGCTGGACTCGTGTCCGAGTCCCGAGTCCAATACTTTTACATAGCTCAGAAATAAATACCTAAAGTGATGCTGTTGTTCGCGTATATTGGCCGCAAATTAAACATTCTGTATGATAAGACTATGTAATTAAAAACGTTGCACATAAACACTATTGCTTTCGAGACAATCATTCGCTGAGCGGCTAGTTTAAATTAGTACAAATAGGTCCTATTTCCCGTCAAAGGAATAAATACTTTGTTACGTAACTCTGATCTACCGCCGCGTCGACTGCCGAAGACGCCGCGCTTGTGTCCTGTCACGATAAATATGGGCCATAACCCACCCGTTTGGAACAAATTTTTTATGGGAAATTTTTATTATATGTTATCTTTTTTAGTCGGCGCTGATACAGACGCCCATCTCTGTGATAATTGAGATATTAATAAAGAATTGCCAACTGTGGAAGCATCGAATAAATGTATCTTATAAATATATCGTAACAAAATAGCTAGCTATTTTTCGTTTGAAAACCATCAATAGCGATTGTCGAATACGCGGAAAATAAGAATGTGTAATTGTTGATTATAATTCAATAAGAGAGACGCAAAAGGCGAAATGTGTTACATGCTAAGTTACGGCTGTCTGTTCAAACTCATGGTCATGACGCAATCATTTTAATTAATACAAATAACGGCGCTTTGAAAAGCAAAATCGAATTTATTAACATTTATTTAGAAGTGAGAGTTACGAGTAAGATTTAAGCCACGATAGGTAGTGTTCGCTTAAAATAAGGACCGTAATTTACAAACTGTGATATGGAAGATCAAATCCAGAAGATGAGACCAGAATAAAATTAATATGTTTATGAATTCACTAATTAATAGCTGTCTTTAATATCTTCGCCGATTTGTACTCACACTTCAGCCTGGAATATAAAAACGAAACTTCGATGTCCGGCGTTGCGTGAGAGCTGATAGTGAAAAAGGTGCTTCAAAAATATAGTTTACCAACAATAATTAGGATGTCGGTCGCCGAAATAATCGCGGTGACAAAAAAACAATTCGCGATTGTGATAAAATTACGGATAAGAAGTAAAGACGCCGCTTTGTTATCGAGTCTCCAGTCTTCTAGTAATTTTCTACTATCGGTAAATAAAAAGAAATAGTCGAATTAATTGATCATGAAAAATTCGATTTTGCCCGTCACTAATCGCGGTGTATGTAAATACTTATTGAATAAAAATAAAAAGTCGGCCCGATTAACATCCAATTACCACGAGTAATAGTTTCCAAATTTATACACATTTAATCGATGCGACTTGCGAGATTGTTTTTGTACATATATACGAGTGTAACGCCACTGACATCTCTCAAAAGTACCGTAATTTTCACTATTTTATCGTTTTATTTCTAACATTTCTACATTTGTTTCTCCCCGGAAATGGCGAGATCATTTATAGAACGATAAAAGGCGAACAGTGCGACATGGTTTCCGCTGATTACGGATTAATCACTGTTCGAGGATTATCAAGTATATGCTTGAAATAGAACGTGGTAAACATTCACTAAACGAGGTCTGGCAATGGAAGGCAAGCTACACGAAACACTGGAATTTATTCAGCTGAGTTTCGCTGACATTTTTTTGTTCTCACGGCGTCGTGAATTTGTAGTTTTTGCGCCTAGTTTTAATTTCACGTAGAGAGAATAGGCTGGACAGTCTCGTAGCAAAACAGAACGAAAAAGTTGAATTTCTCGTCGAATCCGCCACCAGTCTGCGCTTGACTATCGCGTGACGTATGATATCCCGGACTCGGGTAAAATCATCAAAGACTCGGGCCGAATCCGAGTATCAAATTACGAGAGATTCGGCCACGAGTCCGAATCTTGTCGCATCCCTACTGCACACTAGCACAAATATATTTCTGTTAGTGTGCACTGTGCAGCAAAACTCTTGAATCACATAGAATAATAAATTTCTAAAATATTCTTATTACAGCCATGTTGTTTTGGAGTCATTTTTGTATGGATTGCATTCGTTATTCAAAGGAGATTTTCGTATCACGTCTTCTAAAGATGAATGGGTTTTTATTGATATGGATCTACTTCATCATGTTGTTGCACCCGGGGTCAGAATGTCGTTGAAATTACATCAAGATCATTTTCAAAGTATGACAGAATATTTGTTGATTTATTTATGTGTTATAAATGTTATAAAAAATTGGGTATTCCCAAATTATGTTAACCAAGATGGAGGACACCGGAACGTAGTATTTGTACCTGAAATTATGGCCTATAACCTGGTACACATACTACGTTCCAGTGTCCGCCATCTTGGTTCACATACTTCGGGAGTACCCAAAATTACACTGAATATGTTCTTTTTCTGAATAGGACGATAAAAATAATTATGCTGGTACTAAATCATAACCTGATTTATTTGAGGAAGTATATTAGTCACTTGATAAATGTAAATCACATAAAGAAAGCATATTTTTCATATATTGTATTTCAATCTAGGGTATATTTATTGTGCAAGGGTACATTTTCATGTGGTGGTTGGCGCATTATGCTGAGTGTTACATTACATTAGCTCACTATCACACCTAATTATCCCAAACATGTTTGCAGGTTCAAAAACCATGGTGTATATTTGGTTTTACGCTGTGGTTTAGGCTACTGGCTGTCTAAGGGTGGTTCACATAATCATAACCACATAAGTCATTTATAGCTTTCTCCACCATCAATCTGAAGTCCATGTATCTGAACAAATAACTGGTTGACTATTCTCATACTCGACCTACATGGATAGTAACCAAACAAGAGGCCATGGTTAATTATAATACTAGGCAGCATTATCATCATTGATGAGCATTTGACTTATTCTCCTAAGATCATTGTGTTGGGTTAAGTTGTTTAATACATATTGTTTCAATTTGCTTATACATACATCTTTTTGTTTCAAACTCATCTCAAGAAGCCACACATGCAGTTATTTTGGCAACCGCTATCTTTTTAAAAGAATTTTACTGTTTGACTTATTTTCAACCCAATTTATTATACTATATATACTTTGTGAACTGATTGACATTTAACCTGTGTTGTCAACATAGTAGGATCCAACGATCCAAATCACTTTACAAGTTTAACATTTTTTCCCAGATTTGGATGATGAAAACAATTTTGAGGCATTGCATGAAGTGATAACAGAAAATATCAAAGATATGGTTATAACACATGAAGCTGATCCACAATGGAGAAGAGCGGTTTTATCAAACAGACCTTCATTGCTAGCCCTGAGGTTAGATTTATGTAATGATTTCACACACTCTGAAACACGTACAATATTCTTTAAGCAAAACATCTTTATATGGTATTCAAGTTGTACGTCTTGAATATAGGAAGACATACACATCATATGTAGAACTGCTGGACTTGATACCTCTTCTAAATTTGTTAACGTAATACTTTTATCAAACATGCTTTAACTCCAGTTGAAGTTTTAGCAACTTTCCTGTGTGTTTGTCTTATGTGTGTTGTCATTTGTTGGACTATGACCCGAAGTTCAAATATATTATCTCAACTATCTTATAACTGTTCCACTTCTGTAACATATCGCAATTGATTACACATGAATTGGTAGAATAGTTATCCGCGAAACTTATAGAACTGGTGCTTGAATCTCAAACTGAGATACTCATTGTTTACAGCCAATTTTGAGAAGCTTTGATTTATCTATTATAAATTATACAGTGGGACCCCCAAAAAAGATTTTAATTACTTATACGAAAGTTATCCTTAGATTATGTTCCAAATTATGTTTTTAGGGAGTCACCTATGGTACTTATCATTCATGTGGATTCTAATGTTTATGTATATATTCACATTCAGGCATGTTGCTGGAGATGCAGTTGATTCGTATTTTGTCATCACATTGAAACGTAGATCTCAAGGCTTCAGGGTAGTTCGTGTGAATAAAGAATGTGTTAAAGGTTTGTGGGCGGGACAACAACAAGAACTAGTTTTCCTGAGAAATAGCAACCCCGAACGAGGAAGTATACAAAATGCTAAACAAGTTTTAAGGAATATGATCAACTCATCATGTGATCAACCTATAGGTTTGTATAATTTGATAGTCATGAGTGAATAATCAAGAGATAGCAAGGATGTGGAGTTGCGGAAAAATTTGGTGATAATTTACACTCTAGTCACACGCCAAACCATTTTAAAAACAATCTCCAACTCATAGTTGACAAAAACTTTGACTCGGCTTCCAACGACAGTTTGAACGTGTTTTTCTGTATTTGTTCAATTTATCCAAAACAGTATAAAAAAGTAGTTTGCTAGTCTCGGAGGGTGAACTGGAGTCATATTTTGAAATTCTGTTGAATGTCTGAGTCGGAACTGAATGTGAATTGTAATTTCAGTCTTGTAAAAATTTGCATTTATGGCTTCAACAAAGCAGACTTCGTCCTGAGTCTGAGAGTCATTTTGAGAATGACTGCAAGTCGAGCGGAACTTTTCAAAGATTTCACAGCACAGACCACTGGCTAGCTACCATGCCTGCTCTTTTTGCTCCTACAATGAAAATTCATCAATAATACATACAGATTCACACTGGTATTAAGAAGTATTAACTGGTATTATCATTTCAGGTTATCCAATTTATGTATCACCCGTGACAACATCTTTCTCGAATACTCACGATCAATATAAAAAAATAGTTGGAGGATCCATGAGTTTACAGACTATAAGATCATGGTTGTCTGCTGCATGGTCATGGTAAGATTTTTTGTATAATGTGATTGAGAGAACAATGCTCGATCATATAGTCATCAAGGTTGCACATCAGCAGGGATGGCCATTTCCGAATACTAAACTATTCCGAATACATTCTAAAATAATGTTTTCGAATCTGGAATTCCGAATACATTCTAAAATCGAAAATAACACATTTTTGTTTTAGTTGATTAAAACCCAGTAAATTAGGAAATAAGCTTCAATAGAAATATCAGAATGAAGCCACAGACCAACAGTATATGTACACAAAGTAATTGATAGTTTATAGCTATTAATAAAAAATAATAGCAACTTGTGACACAGTCAGTTTATTAAAATTATTCACTTTGTACAAATGACCATATGAAAAGATAGCCAAGGAGTTGTCTGACGCCTTCTATCATTGGTACCATGATATTACGATAATAGTCGAGTCTATTGACAAAAATACTACTTGTATTCAGATAATTGTGTATATTTTCTGAGAGTAATAAAATTTATTGGCAATACAGGCAACAACAATCGAAAATCTATCATGCCTTTACAAATTCTAATATTTAAGCCTAGAGTATTCTACTACCTACCAGTATATTTGTATATTAATTTATGTGAACCATACTGTTATTATGTGTAACATATTGTTTTGTTTGGAGTTAGAAATAAATTAGTAGAGAATAGATGACCACCACTGCCAGCGCGCAGCCAGGATTTTCGAAATCGGAAATTCCCATTGCCGCCTGTAACACCCACCGCGATTCCGCACTCGTTAAAAGAGCCGTCTTGTCAGCGTATTATGATCATTCTGTTACGTAAAATATTCAATCCATGACAACTACGAGATTCTAAAATATCTTTATATATTAATTTAATGTGTCTAACATAACTCGCGGTTGCTTCTTCTTACGTCAAAAAAACATTACTTTTCGGTCCACCGCAATCTGTGACCTAAAAGTACGAGATAAACTGCCTGATGTATTTCATTTTAATATGTATTTTTGCAATCTTGCCAACTCGTTATCGCCGTTAGAAAAATCTCAAATAATTATATAAAATCCTGTTAAGTGTAGAGAATAATTCATTTCATACAATGAATATACATATAAAGTTTAGCAGTAAATTAAAAATACATATTCATCGCCGCGATTTTGCCACCTGTTGAAAGAGTCGACTTTTACAACAAATAATATAACAACGAATAAATATTTTTCTGTTGTGCAAAGTGATGAATTCGTGACCGACACGGGCATATTTAAAATGTCTTGCTCTTATTACTTTAATTGTCTTCAATTTATCCTGCGGTTGCGTCGACAAAATAAAATCTTCACCACTCTTATATACCGTTGCAAACCGCGGCCATAAAAATAAAAACGTGAGGTGAACTGTCCGATTAAATATTGTTTTTATCCGTATATTGCGAATTCGGCAAATATTTAGATGTACTTGGAAACAGTGACTCCGCTCGATCGAAATGCTCAGAGTAAAATATCTCAGAGTAAAATTTATTTCATCACAATAAAATTGATTGAATATACTTTAGATTAATTATATTATATACATCCTCACATCCAGGGAAAAAGTCGCGTTTCAAACCGTGTATCGTGTTAACACGAAAATATTCGACGGCAATTTAAAGTAATGGATAATCAGGAAATAATCAGTGCCTAGAAAAGCGTTTTTTAAATTTTCGCGGGCCTCAATAAAACTTATGTTGTTTACGGTTTTATTTTCAGTATTTTAAATTTCCGCTTTTCAATCAAAAAGTTGCGTTGTCTTTAGAAACTCGCCGCCGATGAACGTATTTACCAGATTCACAATTCCGTGCGCATACAAAAATAAAATAAATGTTATCGTTATCGTGGAACGAATTTGTGGAAAAATTTCGTTTTAGAGAAAATAACACAATCGTAAAGGCGTTTACGGGCCTAAATAACACGTTACGCTGATGAGTGATGAAAACAATCACGCGCAAGTTTCTATCGAGAATGTTTTCATTCAACGGAAACGTCTTGAAAGCGGCGTCGAAAATGTGTGACGTCACACAAATATCCGATATTCTTATGAACGTGAATTCCGATATTCGAATGACGAGATATTCGAATACATTCGAATTGGCCATCCCTGCACATCAGTATACGTTAAGGCAGGGGTGTGCAACAGGCAGCCTGTGGGCCACAGCCCGGCCTGCCAAGTCTTTTAGTGTGGCCTTCGTCAACGGTCAGATTCTTCCTACTCGAGAATAAAATCCAGTTTATGTTTTAAATCGCGTAAAAATACATAATGTAATGCTCTTGTCGCTGTGTTAAATCTTTTGCCGCTTTGTCTGGTGCCTTTATTACCGTAAGGCTAAGCAATAGCCGCATTCTCTTGTCTTTTCCGCCGCGCTCTGGTTGTTGCTAATGTATTTTTTTGCAGCAGGCATTCATGATGCTTGTTTACAACAATATATTTTTATATAATAATCCTTCACTGTGATTGCTGGTCACTTCTGTCACCAGATTTTTGAAGCAGTTCAGTAGCCTATTTTGCTACTATGCAATAACTAAATATTTGTGTGGCCCAGCTAGATGTTTGAAGTTGGTTATATGGCCCACCGACAAAATATGTTGCACGCCCCTGCGTTAAGGTAAAGCTATCTAGCTGAGCAATGAGTTTGCTGAGAAGATCTGCAGATTAGCATGAAGGAATATGTTTCTGAGTGAGTGGTAGCGTGTGACCTCTCTTTGAGCGATGTAATTTTGAGTATTCATTCATCTTTAGTACAAGGATGGGATAGGATTTACATATTTATCCCGGGGGAGAGGAAAGCCGATAAGACGGCTTAACCATGTGGCGAACCACGCCCTCTCGTCCGGTTACCAGTTCATCTCGGGTATGGGATTAGTCAGCCAGTTATTTGTTTTCAGAAGCATGGACTTGATAGTGAAGGAAGCTGTAACCGACCCGCGGTTACGTGAACCACCCTACGGCGGCAAGCAGTCCAGCAATCCTCTTGCACATAACCATCTCCGCATGGGATTCGAACCTGCGAAACCTCGCAGGGTAATCAGGGGTGCGCCATACCGCTGAGCCAAATTTCTTATACTGTTCTCTATTTAGTTTGCAGCGTAGTTGTGGTGGAGGATGTAACAGCGGAGGAAGTGCTGGAATACATATTGGTGCTGATATTGCTAGAATACGTCATCCAATAACAACAACAACAACAACAGCTGCTCCACCTACTCAATCTGGTCAGTAATATTCAGACATGATAATTTTTTAATTTAAGTTAATATATCCAAAATTGAAAGAAATATAATTTTTTTGAAAGTTTAATAACAAAGTGTGAAAATGGATCATTTCATTGAATTGACCTTCGAGTTGTTGCTGAAAAAAATGGCTTCTACTACTGCACCAATCTATTTTGAATTTTTCAGTATGTGTAATAAAGAAGAAGTCACTAGGAGGCTATTACTTTTATTTTTCCTGGGATATTCACCCATCTATAACAATAAAGCATCTAGAACGCAAAAAAACAAAGTGTTAAACTATTTCAGTTAAGTGGGCCATATTAAATCGCTACGTGACCCGAGGGCCACGGTTTGGGAACCACTGTTTTAAAGGTAAGGTGGTGAGTTAGGTGTTAACCCAATATCCCAGAACTGCACCTATGGCACGCATTAGCATAGTTAATTTTAAATATTAAATATCTAATTTTTGCAACATGACCTCTATTCATTTTTTTCAGTTCGTACAAGTGTTTCTGGAAGTCAATCTAGTGGAGGTTATCAATCACAGTCAAACGTTCCTACTGCACCTACCCATACTTCTTCGTCGGTTAATGTTGATAATGATCAGGTAGTTATATCAAGTCAAACTCATGCAGGAATAATGGTTTGAAATTTGAATTTTACTAGTTAGTCAATAAATAAAAAAGGCTAATCCGGTGATGATATGTAGAAGTCTGAGTACAAATTTCCTCCAATCTTGGCCTATGAGTAATTTTGTTGGAGGTCAATTTTTGATACTCCAGTAGTCCGTGTACCAGGTTAGGGTTAGGCCATAATTTTATTCCAATTTTCCTTATTTTAGTTATATTACGAATTCGGCGACTGTCCATGTCAGCTAAGTAAATATACCCCCTGCCCATAGTTTCATTCCATTTATACAACTCGATGTTAAGTGTGCGAACAAAATTAATTACCTCCATATTGGTACACACACTTCTAGAGCGCCCAATTTTGAAAGGGCTTGGCAGTCGGGGGTCGAGTATAAATTTTCCTCGACTCTTCGGCCCTGTTTGCGTTGCAGTAGCAACATAACTTGCCCTCTTTCTATTTTTATAAATTCAAATTCTGCCTTACATCACATTGTTGCATAGAATTAAAATCTTGTAAACTATTTTTTCTCAATGTTTTCAGGCTTCTGTACCTCAATGGCGAAGTTCTCGGTCACCAGTAAGATCGTTATCAAATGAGAATAGAAAAATACTGAGGTCAAACACAGATGACTATGGTGGAAGTGAAAATGTCTTCATGAGCAGTTCATCATTATCCGGGTAATTGTGTATCTGTAATTCCCCAAGTGTCTGTCTTTCTGCACTCTGTGTCGCTGGAAAATTTCGAACGTGTTGCGAAATATCAATCAATTTTTTTGGAATTTGCTTTTCATCTGCCTGCATTTAGAACTTGAACTAAAACGAATAAATCTGTTAAAATTAACGTAAAGGCTATCACTATTGTCTATTTTTAAATTTCTCCTGAATCCTGCAGTCCTCTTTGAAAATTTTGCAGTTCTATCCTATGCAAGGATACACTGTTATATGGTGCATGTTTATCCGATACAAAACTTCATTTAGTACAATATTTTTAACATCTGAATAACGTTATGTGTACATTTTATCTTCATGTGTATATATTTGAGCATTGCTTTCTTGTTTTAAGAAGAAATACAATATTACAAACAGTATAGGTATTGTTTTGTATCGTTTGAAAAAAGTTCGGAATGTATTTAATAAAAATTGAAATGTTTCATTTCATCATTACATTTTTAATATAGGACACTCTGTATAAATTTTAGTGAAAATCCTGCATTTATGAACTTCTGTTTTATTATTCAGGGCAAGGTCTTCTTCACGTTGGAGAACTGCAACCGGTCATCATCCATCAGGCAGTGCATCAATAGAATTGAAACCAATCAATACCAGACATCTGTTGGCACCTGGGATAAGTACTCGTGGTGCTAGACTTGATGGCACTGGTGGTCATGCAAATAGCGATACATTTATTTTCAAGTCATCAAGATCGAGGTATATATATATATGCTTGGTTGTCTACAAAATATAAAAAAGATTTTATCTAAGTAAATTGTTTTTTTCTGCGTAATTTTACTGAACAAAATATAACATATATGATCAATTTTCTATAATATACATTCTTTTAACATTTTTATTATTATTCCAAAATTGTATATATGTGAAACTAAGTAAAAATCCTCAAAACTGGCATCTTCTAATGCAAATTTTTTTTCTAGCTTACCAACTGATGAACCTCGTGCTGGACGATCTATCTTAACTACAGTTAGTGGGAGTGGTAGAAGGATGCACAAGAGTGTGAGTGGGATTACAGCAGCATCCTCCTCTTCCTCCAGCATGAGTAGAGGAGATTCTATCACTGTGATTGGCGGACAGTTGGCCCCACCTAAGGTATATTGAACATATCATGGAAGTTGTAAACATTTGCTGGAGATTTATTACAAGTTTTCTTTACGGAAACTCACATGAGTTCATGACCGCTGGCTGAGTTGGGAAACACTGCTATGAACTCTTACTTTATCTTATTCATTTTTTTGTGCCATGGGCCACATATGGATTCAGAATTACAGGAAAGTGGATGAGGGCAGTTCATCACATGACTCACCACATAGTTTAGCTATATTATTGCTTTTATATTTTAGGCTGTTCGCAAAGGTTCTGGTGATTCGGTTGTGAATACAAATGTTAAACAATCTTCACGACCAAAACGCACAAAGAAAAATACAAAAGACATTGGAAAGGAGAAAGATAAAAACGATCAAGTCAATATAAATGAACCGGAAAAAGAAATGGTTATGGTTAGTTCATTATGTAATATCGGGTGAATATGAATGATGGTTTGCGCTCCAGAAGTATGTATAACAATATGGAGGTAACTAATTTTGTTCGCCTACTTTATATCAAAGGGACTGAAACCTATGGGCATGGGGTATATTTACTTGGCTAACACAGACAGTCCCCGAACACGTAATAGAACTAAAATACAGAAAATCAGAATAAAATTATGGCCTAACCTTAACCTGGTACACACACGGTATCAATATATGGGAAGTAGAATTGATTCTGCATACTACTTGCTCATATCATCTTGCACTATTTAACAGATCACAGATCCAAGCAGAGTATTTGAAACTCTTGAAGTACGTCGACAGGTTGATTACGTTAAATGGCCAAATGAAGAATGGAGAAAATATGGCGGAAGAAGTAAATGGGGAGATTGGAGACCGAAGAAAGGTATGGTACAGTAACTTTCAATTTGCAATATATATTCCAATTTTTTTTTTTTAGTCGTAGGTTCTATATAAATCAGAGAACTTTGATTGTTTTTGAAAAGTGATTGGGAGTACCTTCTGGCTTCTTTATAGATTAGAATACCTTGATTCTGCCTTGGTAACAATAATGTTAATCAAAATATTTAGGGTGACCCAAAAAAAAGATTAATTTCTTAATTACTCCTGAGAAAATGAAGAAAATTTAAACACTCCATATTTTGTCTGTGTATGATTGTACCCAAGAGTTTCAATAACCAGAACGCTTTGCACAAAATTCATGTTCTTTTCTAGAACAGTGGTTCCCGACCTTTTATGGCTCGTGGCCCACTTCTGAAGAAGTTTTAGCACTCATGCCCCCCCTGTTTATCATTGCAGTAATATTTATAGTGTTATTTTTTATTAAAAGATTCAGAATCCCATTAGGTTCCAACAATTCATGCTCAACAAGGTGAAAACACCCTGTAAAAATAACTTTGTCGAGCAATAAAACTGGGAAGACTGGGGAGTTTTCTTGTAAAGGGACAAGTAAAATCAGATTTGCGCCCAGCATTGTGGTCCCCGTCAACTGCTCTGTGGCCCCTTTTGACCTGGATCTGTTTATTCGGTTAACACTATAAATTATTTTATTTTTGCCAACTGTGACTAGTGCTCATGTTTGTGCCTTTTCACAATTTTCTACATTCAACAGGTATGGTTGGGGAAGTTGTCTTCAGATGGTATCCAAGTCACAGGGACGCATCTCAGCGATCTCATGTCGGTGAAGTTATTGTACTTATGAAGATGGAAGATGCTAAATTCGACAAGCCCTTCTATGTTCCTATCCCTGAAAAGGGTGTGACGGAGCACGATACTAAAAATGGTTTGGAAACGACTCAACTTTAAATGTGACACTGTATTTAAATATGTAATATATTGCTGGTATTAATTATTGAGTTAGTTCGTCTTTTCGTTGCATTTTACCACGATTTTTATATTTCGTAATTTTGCCTTTTTTGCTATATTCTTTTTTCTTAATTCTGTTCTATTGTATTGTATTCTTGTGCTTGAGGCAATTGCAATATGCAAGTAATATATTAAAAAAATGCAATACATATTTGTGTTTTGTGAAATGTTTTTTGAAAATTGGCTTTTTGCTGAAGTTCGAAATTTGCAATCTGAAAAGGGGATAACAACTGCCCAAAATTGTTCCGTCTCAATTGGTTGCAAGCTTAACTACACTCTAAAAAAACAGCCAAACAGCAAACTATTAAAGAAAATTTTACCAGTCACATGCGGATGCGTATAAAAATTGACTCGTTTTCATAATACCAGGCGTCATTGTCAGTTTTCAGGTATGCTTTGAGAATTATGAATTAACTCGACGGTTATAAGAAAATTTTTGGTCACACGACGAAGAAAGTTTGAAGTTGAAGTGACCTGCTGTAATCCCCATTACGAAATAGGTATGATGAACTGGAATAAAATGATCTGTTAGTACTTTTTACAGAGGCTGCTTTGAAATTTTAGTACTAAACAAAGATTTCCAAAGTACAAAAACATAGAAGCCAATGCTCTGGAAACATCTATAAACCGTGCACACTCTGAAATACCAGAATTTTATATTTGAGGTTTGATAACAATATTCAAAAAATTTGGTTAGATATTAGGATTGGCAGTTTTCCAAGTGAATTCATAATGTATGCCGCATGTTATAGCAAAGTGGTATGAAAATGAGATCCGATGAAGAAGAACAACGTATTTGACTTTCCTAAACCACCGCAGGGACATAGGAATTGTTTTTGCCGAAGCAAGCACATACGATCCGTTGAACGTGCCTGACTTTCCTAAATCCTTGCCAGAATATAGATAGAATTTGTGCTCGTCGAAGCATGCACATACATTTTCGGTCGAAAAAGAACAACGTGTTTTGTCTTTCCTAGTTCCCCAAAAAGGTAATAGAATTTGTGCTCGTCTAATCAAGCTTATACATCATATTAAAATGGCATGACTGTTTCTAGCTACAAACAATGAAGTGGAGAATTCTCATTGATTTTTTGGCAATTTGCGACATGCAAACGTATAAAAATCTTTCAATTTTGTTTTTTTTTGTAGCACTGTATTTGAATTGAATACGTGTTTTTTTTCACTTCGAGCTGTTAAGCCGTTGTTTTTATAAATATTCCTTTCTATGCCAAAACTGATCGATACTATTTTAAAATTCCTACAGCATTTATATATAATGTATTACTAAATGTACTCACCTTTAACTACAACCGCACGCAACGAAACGTCTGCAGAACCTACCATAATCTGTTTAATGAAAGTGTTGAAACAAACTTTTGAATACGTAGGCTACTCTCAAAGCAATTTACGATGCAATTAATTCAAGTGCTTTAAACCGTTAGATGTGCCCTAAATGACACATCATTCACGCATATGAATCACAAATATCATTTTCTCATGTTCTGGAATAATTGCTCTTCAAATTGGAAAAAAAATGAAGAAAAATGTGCAATTTAAATGTAAGTCGCAGACTTTCTATCCCGTCCGTCCCGTATAATCAAAATGATAACAATACAACAAAATACAAACAAAAATGAATATATATATAATTGGAATAGCGACTTTTTGAAATACCGGCGTATCGTTATCGGCATTTTTTCGTTGGAATCGGTATGAAGTACATACTCTAATGCGGGGGTAACGAACCTATTCGCTATCACGGGTCAATTCATCAGTTACCACTGAGTAAGCACACCTTTTCAGTCATACTATGATATCAGTTGATCACATAAGAATGTCGTAGAATGTAGTTCGAAGATGGTTGTACAATGGGCTTCAAACTGGAGCATTATGACGCTACCCATAGCGCAAGTGTAAAACTTTTAGCCTACTGTGCAGAAATATGTGCAAATCGTCCCAAGAAGAGGTGACGAGCCAAAGCCGTAAAAACTAATTGTTGTCCTAGATTACGTGGAGTTAAATTCGACGATAATTATCTCAAGCATAAAAATTTCAAAACCAGAAACTCTATCCTATAAAGGCCTATTTTTTTCGGATTACAGCTTTCTAATTAGTTCACATTTCAAGTGAATCCGTAGACTACCGTCAGAAAAGTAATTTGCTTTTTTTTAGATTTCAGCCTCTTATTGATTCCGAAATCACGCCACATTGAAGAAAACCGTTGCTTGTTATTTTCACCAGCACATTTAGCTTTTTAAGAAGATTTTTTCAGAGAAAAAACTTCTTCCGTCGAATTTTAGTGACATTATTTACCTTAGCACGAGAAAGAAGGAATTTCAGCGAATAATTTCTTTCGAATTTCAGCGTTTGAGTGACTGCATTTGCCCAACTTTCCCGTTGTAGGTTTCAGTCTTATAACATTTTTAGGTTTAAAGAGCACTGAGATTTCCAGATTTCATCGACATCGTTTTTTCCTTCAGTCGTTTGGCGCTGTCGGTACATCTGCTAAACCAGGGATGGCATTTCCTACTGTGTGACGCGATCGTGTAGTTTAGTTAGAACAAACAATGCCATATTTCTTGCTAATTTAGGCCTATAAATATTTATTAACAACGGTATGCGCAATGTCTTTGCATCGATGTTAATAATGATAAGATGATAATAAGCATATTAAAATATTTCTACCGATAAATAAAGCTTTTACCCAGAATTTGACTCTATATTACGTCAATTGAAATCTGCATTATATGTAGCTTCATCTGATGAAGAGCATAGCCAGCCCAAACAGGGGGGGATACGACGCCCACTCGTGCCTTTTGCTTCGAACAAAGCCAGATAAAAGTAGCCACTGTTATCCAGCAATATCTTAAAGAATCGCTCTACAGATGTACTTTACTGTTAAAGTTTTACAATGCAAATAAAAGCGCATTTTCATCTAACTCGTTTGGTTCATTTGGTGAAAGAATTATTGTTTTTAGTAAAGCAGTCAAAAATAGAGCAAACTTGCGCTGGAAAAGATGTATGAATTTATGTCTTGCTGCAAATCACGCAAAATTTCCTTTGGGGAGGGGGGCATGTACCCCCACCCCTCCCGTCTGACGACTTGAAAAATCCGGTAAAGATTGATAGCGAACATTAGCTTTACATCTAGTGTCGAAGCCAAAAGTCAATTGTTGACTTAGGAAAAATTAATATTGCCTGTATACGAAGTAAAATTATCGCTTCACTCGTAAGCTTCTCTACTCATTTTATTTGGGGCGTGTCAATTGAGTGAAATATTTAACATAAGGGCTACTTATTGAACCAACAACTGCCAAAACCAATTTCTTGGTCAAAGGATAATGGTTAAACTATGATAATGAACAAAAGTTCCAACACGCAATATAGTGCTATTCATTCCCATAATAAATCCATAGTCATAATATGAACTAAAGTATCGCACAACTAAGAAATTTCAAAACTACTGCAATCTTTATCTTCAAGTTGGGATATGTAAGAAAAAACCTGGTTATAAAATGACTTCTAACAAACAAGTGTAGTGAGAGCACTTTTCCTCATTAAAAACAATTTTATTAGAAAAGAGCAAAAAATGATACACTGTAAGTCAACATCAAATAATGCGGCAGGTAATGACTAGTTAAGATGATATCAACAAGGAACAAATGGTCTTTTGTAAAAGATATTCAAAGCTACACATAAACAGAAGTTATTAAGTAACCAACATTACAAATCTTGCACTAAAACAGAACTTATTGTAGATGGTACAATTGAATAGGGGAAAATTTCAACCTTTCAAAAATTAAATAGCCTTCAGTTAAATGACATTCAAAGCATACATGTTTATTTGAAAACATATTTTAGTACTCCTGAAGTATGCGCACTAAGATGCCGCACAACCTGAACCTTAACCTGGTGCACAACCTGAGTTCAGGTTGTGCACCATCTTGGTGCGCATACTTCAGGAGGTCCCATATTTTTTAAGAACGTGCCATAAGTTCCTAACGAATCTTTTTAAATAGGTTATATACAGCCTTTCGAGGAAAACAGATGAAGCGTACTAATGGAATCAAACAAGGTGTTCAAATGGTCTGAAGTAGTAAAAAATATTTGCCGAAAGAAGTTGGTACAAAGATGACTAAACGTGTAGATAGGCACTGGCAATTTTCCATTCTAGCAAAATGCGGCTTGAAGGATTTATCCTATAATAAAATGGCATATTACCTAGTATATGTCAGATCAAATTACACCAACAATATTAATTAAACGATTTTTTCTATCATACACTTAAATATAATAGATCAACCCTCCCCTCAACTCAAAAGGAAGTTGTAATGCAATTGTTTCTTTAAACTCTTTCATATCCCTAGCATCTGATATAATTGCGGGAGAGTCGCATACAAACATTGCTGAGATTTTGCTGCATATCAGATCAATTCATAGAGAATAAGATCAATGATGTTGGAATCTGGAACCTTGGAAAAAATGTTTATATACTGCAACAATGACAATGTTCAGTACATTTCATCTCTCTTTCAATGTTTCACACAGGTTCACCACACAGTATAAGACATCTGATAGCAGGTATCTCCAAACTCAGACAATCATGGTGGATTCGTCACCAAATAATTGGATTGGCATCGTGCTATCTCATCAAGAACCATTTAAACAAAGGTCATTTGTGTATTATCGCGATCAATTCAGTTTTGCACGTTTTCTTGCAATTGCATCCTCGACTGCCCTTAATTGTTCAAGTAATTCAACTCTCCTATTAGATGGTGGCTTCTTGGTTTGACCTGAAAGTTCAGAAGCAGGGCGTTTCCGATCTTTAGCAATACCTGGTTTATCAATGATTGTCATTTTAACGTCTTTTCGGCCAGGTTTAGATGGAACTGCTACCTTACTTTTTTGAGCAGCAACTTTGGGAACAGTGGGAGGTTTGTTACCACCTGCTGATCCAGTAGACTTGGCAGATTTTTTTGATTTTGTTTTATCTCCATCAGAATCTGAAGAAGATGAACCAGAAGATGAAGTATAACTAGAAGATGAACTGCCGCTACTTCCAGAATCAGAGCCAGAACCGCTTTTGTTTTTACCTCTAGATGGTGATGGAGACGCTGAACTATCCGACCGAGAAAACTCACTACTACTTGAGGATTTTCTCTGTTTCTTGGGCAATGCTTTATCTTTTTTAGCAACAATAGGCTTAATGGTAAGATTAGTAGGTACAGGAAGGGATGCATTGTTGGCAGCATTAGAAAAGTTTTTGGCAACATCAGGTGGAGCCTTGGCCTGTGGAATAATTTGTTTGTCTTTGCTTGACTTAATTTGTGTTACTGGTTTCGTACCAGTGGTATTTTTACCTACAATTTGTGGGGCTTTCTTTTGTGCACCAACAGCGGCATTGCGTTGTTTAGCGGAGGCTAGAATTTTTTTCTTCGACTTTACACCTTTCGAAGGTGCTGGAGATCTACTTGAATGACTGCTATACGAGCTGGAATGTGAGGAACCCGATGATCTTGATGATGATCTGCTGCTTCCTGAAGATGACCTCGATGAATATGATGAATGAGAGGATGAACGGGAAGAAGAACCTGAACTTGACCCTGATGATGATGAAGAAGAATCTTTATTCTTATTTCTTCCTCTAGCTTGAGGCCGGGCACGAGCCCATGGATCCACCCATTGATCACTTCTTACATTAGGGGCCCCGTTTTCAGCTAACTTGAATTCATCTATTTGGGACTTTTCATCTTTGGTCTGGTCACGAGGCGCTTCCCTGCGATCATCATGCAACGGCAAATGCTGGTCTGGTCTTTGCATATCTTTATCAGGACGTCTATCTCGATTTCCATCTCTCTGCTCATCCACGCGATGAATAAAGCCTGAATCTTTTGGATGACGATCTTTGCCATAGATGGGTTGATGTGGTGACATTCTTCTCATGTCTGGTGGATAATGGCCAGGTGGTGGTAACCTGTGAGGTGAAGGGGGCCTTCTTTCGTGAGATTTTGGATGTAAAAGATGCTCTGGAGGGGGAAGTCTGTGGTCTTTCCCAGGTGGGTGACGAATTGGGGGTGGTGGACCCCCACGCTGTCTTTCACGATGCATTCTCGCTTGACGACGCATTTCTTCAGGTGTTGGTACAGCATATTCATCCGCTTCAATTTCCTGAAATGGATCGAATCCTTTGTTTGCTGGTCCAAGAGGTTTATGATCTACAAATTCCATATCACGATCCTCATTCAAAGCCAGATTTAGAGATAACACCTCACGTTTTTGAACAAAGTCAGGCTCCTGTACTTTGCGCTGCAAAGCTCTCTTTTTTAATTCCTTTGCATGTCTCAAACCTTTTTCCCAAGCAGTTTCAGCAACTGGAGGGGGCATAAAAGGTGGAGGTTCATTTTCCCATGGTGCTCTGTATCCTTGGGGTTGTTGATGAAATTCTGGAATGTCCCTTTGGGTTTGTCTATTGCGTTCATTATCACTGAACATATTATAATTACCTCTGTCATTTACTCCAGGGTGGAGATATCGACAACGGTCACCCCAAGTACAGTTTCCCATTAAAAAAAATCTACAAGGTCTTTTCTGTTCTTGAGGGACATCTTGTGGACCATCTCTAGTCTCTCCTTCTTCAAAATCTTCTCCATCACTTTTAAGTTCACCATCGCTATCACTATCAACTTCACCATCAGATCTTTCTTTTACGGCACGATCAATTACACGAAACGCATCAGTTGACAAATCTGTGTTTTTTATTCTAATATCAGTGTCATCCTCATCATAGTCCAATTGTTCAAGATCATCCGGTCTATTATCATCTATTCCATACCCTCTTGGATCATCATTTACTGATTCTGAACGTTTTATTCCATCACCAGCCGATGTATTTTCTGGTTTCGATTCAATATTTGTTCTAGCAGTTTCATTGATTGCAATATTGTTATTTGTTGTTAAATCATCAGGAACATTATCTTTTTCATCATTTGAATCATCTAGTTCACCCTCTTCAGTTTCAGTAGTGTCCTGAACCATGACCGCACCATCCAAATTCTGTCCATCACTTTCCACTTTAATCGTGTTGTCGATTGGTTTAGATGTTTGATCAGTATCATATGTCATCTTACTAGTTTGATTATCATAATCCGATTTAATTTCATCTTTGACATCAGAAATATCTTGTTCCAATGACCTGCTTGGTTCATCTTTAATTTCAGATAAATTTTCATTTAATTTAGCAACAAAATCAGGTTCTGTTTTCACTGTATCAACATTAGTTTCACTGGAAATGTTAACATTATCTTTCTCATTTGTTTCACTGTTTTTATCAGGTAATCCAGCTTCCACAGGTTCCAGTGATTGATCCCCACTTTCTAGTTTTTCCTCAACATTACTTTCAGTTAACTCACTATCATCATCATTAGAAATAATGGAGGGATTGGCAGATTTATCAGTGATTATTTCACCTTCTTCCATATCACAGGTATAACTGCACAATGTGACAATGTCAGATTTTTAAGAATATCAAGTCCTGCTATATATAACTAAACAATATCAATGTAAAAAATATGAGTTAATTTTATAAATTAAAAATCCAGCAAAAATGATTAGCATTTGTCAAAATAGAGACAACTAAGCTCATCAGTGGGAATATACAGCCATGTTCTTTCATAAAAATTTAAGCTCTTAGATAGGGCTGGGAATTTTAGTGAAAATACTTTAACCGGGTAAAATTAACCGGTTAATCGCAGCGTGGAGTTTGACGTAAAAAAATAAAAGTTTAAGGATTGTCACGTCACAATGGCCCCAGAACAAATGCACAATTTTTTTTATTTTACGCGGTGGCGGGGTGTTTTTTTTGACAATGGCAAAAAATATTGTAAATTTAAAGCGTTCGTCACTACTTCTCTAGAATGTCAATATGCTAATATCCATGCGGCAGAATGCACATTAAATAGACACTCTTGCAACAAAATCGTGAACATTATAAACAACAACTTTTTTCATAATCAGCAAGACTAGTACTTCAATTATTTCCCTACATTTTCATGGTGCTCACCATATAGTGATATCCTTTTGAATTGTACGTCACAGAAAATAAATTTGTGAAAAATCTTACCACTTCATGGCAGCTCCTGCCACGAAATAACCGCGGCAGCTCTCGTCATGGTTCCATAGCGCTATTCAGTAATCCGTATTAACGGTATATTCACAAATTGATGTACCAGATTTTAATTGATCATGTGGAATTATATCTCAGTATCTACTTAAACCCTACCCCAAATCCATCAAAACTGTATCCATAAGAAAAACGTTCCAACTTCCAACCCAATATTTGTCACCATAAAGGACACCCTGTTCTTACCAAGTGCAGTTTTATGTATTCTGTGGCATCTGCAGCTGCCGCAAAACCATGGCGGTATTTTCTTACCATGGCCGCTACGGCCAAACTCATGGCAACTGACTTTTTAGCTGCCACAAACCAATGTCGAGCTGCCGTTACCGCGGCAGCTAATTGAAAACCAATGGCAGGTAAAATTTTGCTGCCGTAACCGCGGCAGGTGGGCGGTAAAGACAGGGCTGTCTATTATGGTGACAAATATTGGGTAAGTTGGAACGTTTTTCTTATGGATACAGTTTTGACTGATTTGGGGTTAGGGTTAGGGTTTAAGTAGATATAATTCCACATGATCAATTAAAATCTGGTACATTAATTTGTGAATATACCGTTAATACTGATTACTGAATAGCGCTATAAAACCATGGCAAGAGCTGCCGCGGTTCGTTCGTGGCAGGAGCTGCCATAATGTGGTAAGAAATGCGCCTCGTTCTTACGGCCCACCTGCCATGGTTACGGCAGCAAAATTTTACATGCCATTGGTTTGGTTTTCAATTTGCTGCCGCGGTAACGGCAGCTCGTCATTGGTTTGTGGCAGCTAAAAAGTCAGTCGCCATAGGTTTGGCCGTAGCGGCCACTGTATGGAAATACCGTCATGGTTTTGCAGCAGCTGCAGACGCCACAGAATACTATAACTATACGATAATACTACTACTAATACTTCAAACTATACGAACTGCCATCCAAGACGGGCAAACGAGCATCCGAAATTGAACAGTTATCGGCACCAATGCCATTTCGGGCGATTGTATATTAGGCAAGCTCTATGACGTGATTGTGAATTGTGATGTCGTACCGGTAGTGACGTAATTTTTGGATGGCGCAGTCAGATGAGAGTTAGGATTGACATATCAAAAAACATTTATGCTACGCCCACTAGAAGTATGTTTGGTACGAAACTACACGAGACCCAAATTTTGTGTATGCCTAAACTTGTATCTGGGGTCTAGCGCAAAACCCCTTTTGGCATGGAAAATAAGTTCAAAACATACAAATTTTCCATCACACAGGATTTAGGATCACATAATTAAGCTTTGCACAAGTGCCGCCATTATTCACTGGTCATATCAGTCATTCTGTACGGCACGGTACCGGTACCGGTACCTTAGTTGCAGCAATGCAAATTCATCAACTCAAAAGTCTGAAAATGTTTTGCTTTTCTAGTTTTACTGCAGTACAGTACTGTTTTATCGTACCCTATACAGCTATATCTAGCTCTACATCTACGATATTTTAGTATTCAGGTCACAAGCTCAGGTACCGTACTGCAGCGTGTAGACGCAGGCCCAGTACCGGTGTCCGGTACCGATACCCTTACCTTGTTACTCCCACCCTTTCTGTATTTTGAACGGCAATACGGTATGGTATCTCAAATTGTCGTCGCCATTCTCGCTAAGACCCTAATAAATATTTTTTTTCTTCTGATAAGAATAGTGACGGGGTGAACAAAATAGATACCGGTACTGTATTGAATTTTGAACTCGTATATTTTATAACTCCATATATTACGATATAAAGCACCTCATGCATTCATGAGGTTTCCAATATCTGGACATGCGAAAAAGCAAGTGCGCCAAGCTTAGTACGACGTCAAAGTGGCCATGTATCCTATCAGGCCGCGAGCCGAGGTCCTGAAAAACGCTTAGAAAGTGAGTTTCGTAGGGCACATCAGGTAACTACCTGAAAATGGTTTTAAAATGTTCCTTAAAAATTTAGTAACAAATATTGCCTTGTTCCCACTTCCAAAAGTTGCACGTTTTACGGAAAAGACGATTTTACTACAAGAAATATGTGCTACGATCTGTCCTATATTCTTTACATTTCCGGCAATGAACAATGACTTCTGTATGACGTAACAATTGAATCAAATCAGCTGTTAGCGAGCGGATGAATCTTAGTTATTACCAATGACATTAAACAACATGATAGGCAACTCTGACGTCACTCCATAAGACTACAGGCGAAACATTATATTTCATGATACGCTCCAATGCACATATTTCTCGTCGCCTTTCGCGTCCGTTTTCCGCTCGCTTTTGCTACTCGGCGTCTTTTTTACGTGTAGTACCTGCCTTTTTGCGCCTGTAACGAAACAAAATAATCTCTATATCTAAGAAGTTTTGCTTACTTGGAAAGCTGGAATAACAGGCAAGCTGTAAAGAGCAATTCTGGACATCATAGACTTTTTTTTTTTATCAGAGAAGATTACAAACGCGATAGCGGAAAGATTTGTGTGGAACATTTTGCAGATAATGACAAAGTTCAAAGTTAGTAATTTTAATGTTTGCGCTTAATCATTGAAATTTCATTTAAAGAGGGTGTCATACAAAACTGTGCTGCGATACAATTTCATAACACAAAGTTTGCACCTATCGAACTTGCTTTTGTAGGTGAATTTATTAGACATATTACATATTCAGTTAATCGTAGGTAACATTGCTGGTACATAATGCATCGTAGATAGGTTTGTTTAAATTTAAGAATTTAGCTCATAGCCCACTAATTAATATTATCTTCTATGCAGGAGGTTGCAGGGCTGAATTCAACTTGCAGCCTCACCGACCACCTGACGATGCTCATTTAGTTTGGCTCGAGCAAGTCTTCTTGAAATGCTTGTGTGGATGGAAACTACCTATATTTTTTGCCTTCCTCCGATTTTAGACAAATTTATTCTGAGGGATTTCGCATATAATTCTCACTGATTGTTGGCTGTTTATAATTCCTATTGATTGTGAATTCTGATTATAACAATGAGTTGAAAATTTTTTTACCTAAATTACTGGCACCTTTTTCTTGTCAATACTCCAAGCTGAGGTAATAAACATGACAATACATTTATGTCATCTGGAAGCAAAATATGCACACTAATTAATAGTTTGGCACATTGAGATAATACATCATGACAGAAAATACAAGTTAAAGATATGTATGACCATCACATGGTAATTAAAATTAAAAAAATTAATAGGGGCTGTGGAGCAGTGTTAACTCTAAGGAAATTATGAGTGCGAAAGTGCTTCGCAGTCGAAAAAAAAAGTGCGAAAGTGCTTTTTCTGATTTTAACTAGTTAGTTGCCCTAGCTTTTGTTTAAACTCATTTCAAACAGCATGGATACTCGAAAAAGCGCTTCTTCCGTTAATATTGTGAATTGAAGTCTTTCCGTTAACGGAGTTTCGTTTAACTCTTGTTAAAAACAAGCGAATTCATCCAAGGACACCTGATAAGCACACTTGTGGGGAATAAAAGTTTCCTGCAATCAACCACCAGCGTCAGTAACGAAGCGCACTCCCGCCTGAACAGACAAGCCTTGCAAACTTGTTTCTTCCATCTAACAGACACCGATTGATACATGCAGATATTAGTTACTACCGGCCATAGCTAGGGAGGGGGATCTTTCGTACAAAACCCGGGCAAAATGACATGCCCATGACCCATCACCAATATCGCTTTAGTATAACACGCTTCCTCGTCCGAAAGAATATGCTTGAAAGTAGTCCGGCATCTTCCCTTTTAAGAGATTGGTTAACGTCATGTTTCTCCGGCCAGTTTTTCTTTGGGAAATAACGCAAGATCACCATGAAAATACCGCTGTTTTTATAGATAGAGTGACCTACTTTCTATCGAAGATTTTTTTTCAGATAGAGTGACCTACTTTCTATCGAAGATTTTTTTTCCGAAATATTATTCAAGATCACTTTGAAATCCCTTTCATGAGCTAGCTTGGCCTAATTTATATTATACTGTCTCACGGATTACGCTAAGACGTGTAATTTTCAAATATCGACTTGCATTGGTTTGCGTGCCAGTTAGTTCAAATCGGGTAGAAAACATCATATATTTGCAATTTTTTTTAGAAATGCCAGCATTTATAAATAACGCTCTCTCTAATGCTGCAGACCTAGTATGAAATATTCGCATCTCAACGCCACTTTCAATTACACTAATAGTAATGATGACACCAAAGAGTTTTCCTTTGCGAAGGTACAGGAAATACAACAGGGTGATTCTTGAAAAAAACATGAATGTAAAAAATAAACGAATGACTTGATAGTGGTTCCCAAATAATTTTGAGTGTGAAGCGAAATACCAATCCATTTGATAAATCTTTTTTAGTCGACCATGTGAACGCTGAAATCCTGGAAATTAAAGTTGAAAGAGAAGTA